TGGTTTTTGGTTTTGAGCACATCTGGCAGTGCTGAGGGACTACTCCTGGCTCATTGCTCAGGGGTTGCTTGTGGGGGTACACAGGGGACCGTATGTGGTGCCTGGAATTGAACCCAGGTCTCCATCATATAAAACATGCACTCCAGCCTTTTGAGCTATCTCCCCAGCTCTGGACTGGCCATTGTTCCAACTTAACTGCTTTGAATTTACTGATTTTTGTTTTATATATAACAAACTCAGAAACATGGTTCAATAGAGATTGGACAGTGTACACGTGGTCTGACTTTTAAGGGCAGCATGGAGGCAGGTGGTTTTATGGATACAGGATACTTGGATTATTTGGGGGTAATTTAAAATCATGTTTATATTTTTATTCTTCTAGGTACCCAGGCCCTCCGGCTGATTTAAATCCTGGTTCCCTAGCATGCTCTCAGCTTCAGAACTATGATCCTGACAGGGCGCTGACAGATTATATTACTCGCCTAGAAGCACTGCAGAGACGACTTGGAACTGTACAGTCAGGTATGGCAGGCTTCACGAGGGCCTGTACCCAGCCTCTGTTCTCTCTCTGAAGATTCGACCTTCATTGAGGCAATCAGATCTTACAGTTCAGTGCATGAGTTCCCAGGGTAAATTTAGGGATTTTAAATCTAAACAAGATTTATCACCCTACTTCCATTCCCCCAAATAAAGGATTCTGTTTTAGATTGATAAAAATAAGGGTGAGAAATGTTTCACAGACCAGACAGTACAGGCAGCCTATCTGAGATCTGTGTCTGTCCAATTATGTACCAGATCCAGACCCCATGATTTCACAGACCTTCTACCGCCCAAGGACCAGATGTTCCCCAACCCTGGATTAGATTAAAAAAAAAAAAGCATCAGGGTACTTTAAGGCTGCAGGGTCTACATAGGAGAACATGGTAAACACATAGTGAGGTATACAAGTCCAACGAGGGAGAGAGGATGACACAAATTACATCCATTTTTCTCTATTAGAACTATTAGTTTTTTTTTATATATTCTGAGAAATGCATTCTATACGAAGTTTTGTTAAGTGCCAGAGCAATAGTACAGTGGGTAGTGTTTGCCTTGTATGAGCCAACCCGAGTTTGTTCCCCAGCATCCCATGGTCCTCCAAGCAATACCAAGCAACATCATTTAATTCCTGAGCATTGTTGGGTGTTACCCAAAAGGCCAAAAAAAAAAAAAAGTTAAGAATGACCTTTTCATTTTCTCTACTCAGAAGCAAAAAAGTAATCTAATCATCCTTGATAGAAGTGGATTCCCTATTCATTGTAGTAAAACCTCTTTGCCAGTCTTTCAGTTCACTATTGGCTCATCAAGTTTTGAATGTGCTTTGGGTCAGCTCTGAGTTTTGTTTTTATTTCTTAAAGACCTTTTTTCAGAGCCTGAGTGGGTTGAGTGCTTATCTTGCATGCAACCAACCTGAGATATCCATAAGATCTATACTATACTCCATATGGTCCCCCAAGCCTGCTAGGAGTGATCCTTAAGTGAAGAGTCAAGGAGTAAGCCCTGAGTACCACCAGATGTGGCTCCCATCCCTATAAAAAGACCTTTTTTCCCTACTAATCCCACAGAATTGGACTAATAACAGATTGTTCTAAGTTAATATGTTCATACAAGCAATCCCCAAATGACACAATTTGTAGTCACAGGAAATACCAGAACTGGAGTTTGATTGGTTGTGTTGAGGGGAAAGAGATGTATGTCCAGATTTCACAAGATCCACATTTTCAGCTGCTTTATTTGTGTAGTTGCTTTATGTGAGTGAATGTTGAGGGAAAGGATGTGTATGCTCATATCTGTATGTTCGAGTGATGTGTCTAGAGAAATGTGTGTGGATGCTTGTGCATGTTATTGGGGCAGGGGAGGGGGGTATGAGACAACAATAGGTGCATCCAAATTTCATAAGATCCTATTTTTGTTTACTTTGTGTGTTTGTGTATGTGTATCCTTGTTTGTTGAGAGATAGAGGGATGGCTGTGTAGATATCACAAGATGCATACTTTTGAAGACCAAAAAGATTTTTTGACAAACAGGAAATACAAAATATTTAACCTGCTTGCCAAACCTGCTTGCCATTTTAAAAGAAAATCTTTAGTTTGAGTTATTTTGCAGTCAGGCAGTTTCCCAGATTTGGCCTACTGTCCCCTTTTCGGAAACTTAGCCCCCGCATTCCTAGTGGAACTGAACCTCAAGACAACAAAAAGTGTGTTCCCCACTTGTTCCTGAGTTTAGTACTGCCCACCCCCATCATTTTGGCTCTCCGAGGAGTACAGTATCACACACTGGGAAAACCTGCTATAGAACCAGTCACAGTGACTTTTAAACTTTCGAAGTTGTTTTTAAGAGTAGGAAACATTTGGGTTGGGTTGGGTGGGATGCTGCAGAGGGACACAGTAGGCCAGAGCAGTCCCAAGCATCAGAGGAAGTAAATCCTAAACACAGATGCAGTAGCAGCTCCCCAACACACTGCCAAGGGTGGTCCCTAAACAAATATTTTACAGCTCTTTCCTTAATGTAGGGTAATTATAAACCTTTTAATTATCTTGTCTGCTATAGGTAGCAATCAGATTTGAAACCATTTAAACATACTGTTTTTTTTTTTAAACAGGTTCAGTTCAGTTTCATGCTGGCATGAGAAGATAATCCTTTGAAACATCATGAATCAAAATGATTTTGAACAAATTACCTTTTGTAAATCAGTGGCAATTTTGTCCTTTTGTATTGTGGATATTCAATGGGACCAATACGAACACAGCTTATGATTGTATACAAATCCTTTGCCAGCACATGAAAACAAACTGGAATTTGTACATATGAACATTGTGTATGTCTTCATGCACAATAATCACTAAATTACATGTATATTTGTGGAATGCTAATTTAAATGATTAAATTATAAACTTTGTGTATTTATCAAATGGGTAAAAAGACTCAACTTTTGCGCATTATGATACTGCTGAATGTGTAGCTTGAAGTGTTCCTGCACTTTTCTTATAAGGCTACTGAAGTTACATGTTTCTGCCTAATATATTTGCTACCGGTGATGAGGACAGATATCACTTGTAGAGAACTATTTTTGTATAATGGTAGAAGTTTTGAATTTTATGGGGTATTTTGTCAAGTACTGAAATAAAAATGACTTCACCATTTTAAATATACTGTATTATGAACCTTCTTTTTCACTTGGTACATTCAGACTGCTCCAATAAAATCCCATACAGGGTCTGGAGTGATAGCACAGCAGGTAGAGCGTTTGCCTTGCATGTGGCCAACCAGGGTTCAATTCCCAGCATCCCATATGGTCCCCTGAGCACCGCCCCGAGTAATTTCTGAGTGAATGAGCCAGGAGTAACCCTTGCACATTGCCGGGTATGACCCAAAAAGCAAAAAAATAAGTAGAATAAATAAAATCCCATACAATAGTGACTAATCATTAAAAGGAAATTTCTGTTTTGATAAGGTGCCAGGTCATGTTTATTGAAGGCCAGCATCATGGTCCATAGCTTCTTGCTGTCCCCATATGGTGTCCCCAACTCCAAAAAGCCCCACCCTCTGGAAATTGGGTCTCAAAATATGAATGGAATAGGGGACACAAACGATGGCCTAGCATAACTATGAAGCTCAGATATGTAGAACTACATAGTTGATTCAGGATTTTGTCTTACATTAAAGAAGTCTTCCATTTTCCTTTTTATCAACTTTTCTACCATACTTAGTATTATGTTCAAACTTGTCTCACAAACCAGTGCCCATATAAGATGTCGTAAACTCATTTACATCAGGCTTAAATTCATTAGCCTTGGGGCCAGAGCAATAGTACAGCAGGTAGGATACTTGTGTAATGCTAATTTCAACACTAGTTTGAACACGGCTGATACAGGTTCAACCCCAGCATCCCATATGTTCCCCTGAGCACTGCCAGAAGTAACCCTTGATCACAGCTGGCAATGGGTGTGACACCAAAACAATAAAAAAGAATGTACTAGCCAGAGTGCACAAACCAAATTCGAAAGTTATCAGAGGTGATAAAAATCTGTGTTGTAACCTATTTCTCTAATTTACAGAAAACATCACAATTCACTAAACATCAAGAGTGGTAGACTTGGGACTAGAGCGCTACTACTGGTGTAGTCAAAAAACAGACTATTATAGTAGGATTTAATGCTTATGTCCAGAGGATTCTCTCTTATCAGGATAATTGTAATTTTCATTAGCAAGTTGGTCAAATTCCACATTCTTAAGAGTTCAGGTTACCTGTAGTTACCATTTGAGCTGCTGGGTTCCAGTCAAAGCTGGAGATAAATACACTCTAAAGCATCTAAAGGGGAGGATTTTGAGTAAAGGCTTTTATGATTATCACACATGTCATCCAAGTCTATTCTGCTGTAAGAATGAAGAAAGGAGCAAATGATTGATAAGAATGCTTTTCGGTGTTTTAGGTTTTTCGTGCCTCCCAGCACAAAAGTGGCTCAAAGTGGCCAGAAGGTACGCAGGGCTTTACAAGTGTCAGTTATGTGCACTACCACTTTAAACCACATCTGTGGCATTCAAATGACAAGTATTCTGATCAAATTCATTATACTTCAGTATTTTGACTACCATTCCTCCTTTTACACTATTAATACTAACCAACTTGTTGGTACTACACAATATTTGGTTTGTGGTTATAAGCCATATTGTGGTTATAAGTTATATTGGATATCTAAAACTAGCTGGATCAGGGAAGTAAAGGAATGAAGCCTGGACCTTAAATAGCTTGATGGCCTGAGTTGAAGCCCCAGCTCGAAGTTCATAAAGGAAATACTAACTTGAAAATAGCAATTAACGTTGCCGCTTTAAGGGAAAAAATGTAATTGTTTCTTCTAATAAATTCTAGGTTTCAGAATTCTTTACACTGTCGCACACACACACATAATTCATTAACAACTGTATTTTTCTCAAAGATAAGTTTAATATGGAAGACTTAACAGCAGACATTTGCCTTTACAAAGAGCTTCACATTAGTCCCCTTACCCTCTTAAATGAAACTGTAATGTACATATTTGGCCTCAACCAGTAAAAAGACTAAGGGGTCAGATTACTGGTATCATCCATTCAGTCCCCCCATTGTAAGTTGCTTTTGAACAATTTTACATAATGTAAACACTGATACTACTCCAGAGACCTTGATCATAATACTCATACTTAAAAATCAGAATACCCTGATCTCAGATTGTATGAATTTGCTTGAAAACTTGTTCACCTAAGTTATGTTTTAATTGATGGAACTACACACAGAAACAACCCTATCCGGATTCTCAAGAGGAAGCAAGGAACCATTCTAAGCCTAAGAGAAAAAAAGCCCTTTAGGCATGTCCTTTTGGACTTTGCACAGACATGACCCTACAGAACCAGATATGTAATTAACAGGTGGGTAAATATGTGATATTTATTAATTAGATCCAAGTTGAATGAATAATTCTTAGTAATCATTTTTAGGAAATACAGTTAAGTCAGCCACAGATCTCAATTTCCTATAAATGGTGCTTCCAGTTAAAATAGAAAACATTTTTCTACCCCACTGCTTCATCACTGCTAAGAATCATGTAACACATAGCATACTCTTTTATCCAAAGCTTTAAATGTGAGTTTATTCCTTATCCTTCCATACACACACACATTACCCAGTAAATGAATAAATAACCTATGGCTCCCAAGTATCCCAAGTGTCTTGCAAAATCTAAGATTTGAATACCATGAACATACATTCCAAATGCTCTTAAAATAAATACTTGGAAATTGTGTGACTTAAAATTTACCAATTCCAATATTCCTCTAAGCAATATTAATGAGCTTGATGTCTGTAAAGAAAGCACATGTTGTAAATGCCCAGTACAAAAGTTTTAGGAAATCTCTGAAATACCTTTAGATTTGATGAAACCATTCGGCTAATATAAAAACTAGTAGCTACAGATGCCTATTTTAAATTCCACACTCAAAAAAGAGTAATACACTGTAAGTCATTTGTAAACTCCATTCTCTTCCAATGCTTTTGTAGATTACACTGATGTTTCACTTTTCAGTTCCTTGCAGTCTGTTTCATTTTGACCTTCTTTTGTATCGGATAACTGGGTTTTCAGGGGTGTGAATCATGGTTGTATAATTCACAGCAGGAAAATAGCCATTAACGAGATCAAATTCATATAGACGAAGCATAGTGGACCAAATTGTCTTAATTTGAACATAGGCAAAATTCTCTCCAACACAACGATGACGTCCTGTTTTAAAAAAAAAATTGAAATTCCTCTATAGTTAAGGTGAACAGCAAATAGACCAGAGAAGGTAAAAAGATCACCTTTCTTTTCAGGTTAAACAAAATGTAAATAGTTAATAAAAATCCCAGAAGTTTATCCTCTGAGATTTGGCTCCACAGAGAAATGGCTCAACAGACTGAGAATATACGTTTGCAAATAGGAAGCCCAGGATTGATCCCAAAACCAGCTGATCTAGCCACAGAGCCAAAATAAAACCAAAATAGTCCTAGGAGATTTTTGACATGTTTTTAAGGAAAGTTACACTTATGTATGTAACTATATGACAACTTTTCCAGTTTATCTGAAATTTAAGAGGTGAATGTTACATGTCATTCAATATTAACATGTAACAACTAAGGAAAGCCTTAGTTTACTTTTAAAAGGAATGAATTCTTTTTAGAAGCAACTGATTAAAGATATCTGAACTAGGAATTTACAGAACAACTGTTAAACTCTTATTCAAAAAATAGACTACAAAATTGAATTAACTATGTAACATATACATCAATAGACACAGCACAATCACAAAGTAATATAGGATTCTGAGGTTAGAAATCCTGCCCTGTAAACATCAAATCTCAAATTCAATCCGCACTGGTTTCATATGCATTGATCCAAGAATCTGTTGTGTCTAATCGGTGGTGCTGCAAGTCATTTCCAGTTACACCACAAAGGTGTATAAGCACTACAAAGGATTCAACCCCCAATAAGTACCACAACTAAAAAGATGTGGAAGGTGAGCCATGACCAGGAAATACAACTCTGGCATGTTCATGTGTGAACCCTCAGCAACCCAAGATGAGCAGTACAACCCTAACTTGATGCATCAGCTAAAGAGTGCACTTTCCAAGATAGCTCAGTGGGCTGGAACATATGATTTGCATGTGGTAGGCCTGGATTCAATCCCTGGCACCACATGCTCCCCGAGCACAACCAGAATCCTGAGCATGGAGTCAAGAAATATGGCTAAGTAAATAGTTGCCCCCCTCCCCCCCCCAAAAAAAAATCCTTAGTTGGGGACTGTAGTTCAGCAATCAGGCACTTGCTTCATATGTGAGGCCTCGGGCTCAATCCCTGGCACACAAAAGAAAAAGTGGGTGCGACCACCAGCAAGTATATGTGTATGTAAGTATTACAACAAGGTCTGTCTGTGACCATATTTCATTGCGTAATTATTGCTATTTGCTTTTTCAGTAATGCTGGCCCAATTTATTTTCAGTGTCACATAATTGGCATACCCCATTTTTGGTAAAAAAATATATATATTGGCAGGAAATCTGTGACAATTTTCTGGTGAAAGATAACAAGTGGAGGTCATGAGTATGCAATGAAATATGGTATGTGACCAAACTGACCAATGACAAAGTTATGTCACTTAAAAATTTAAAATAAACCTTAGACACAGCAAGATAGCAACAACAAACCAAAGAAAATCCAATGGGAGAACTGAGCCACACAACCAAGTTGTGGGGAGATGGCTGAAAGGGAGAGGGCACTGGAGTTCTTGGGGGAGGTAAATATGGGTATGGTGTTGGGTATGATGGTGATGGGTATGGTGTTGGAATTTTTTTTTTTCAATCCACACCCAGTAATGCTCAGGGCTTACTCCTGATCTGCACTCAGACATCACTCCTGGTAGGCTTGGGTGCCCTCTAGAGTGTCAGAGATCCAACCCAGGTCAGCAGTGTGCAAGGGAAGTGTCCCTATCCTCTGTAATATTACACTATTGTTCCAGCCCAATGTTAGAACTAGGTACACGGGAAGCCATTGTCAACAGTAAATCACAAAACCTCAAAGTACTTTCATCTTTTCTAAAATGTTGATAATATGATATTTAATCTAAATGATTACATTAATAGAGTGTTCCAGGTTTGTATATTTGTTTTTGGGCTACACCAGGCCCAGGCCATGCTTGGAGCTTACTTCTAGCTCTATACTCAGGGATCACTCTGAGTATATTGGGGCACCATATGGGGTGTAGGAGATCAAACCCAGGTCATTTCCATGAAAGGCAAGCACCTTACCTTCTGTACTATCTCTCTGGCCTGCTCAGTATTTTTTAAAACAATTCAAAACAGTGAGCTATAAAAATTAAATCTAATAAAACCACAAAATGATAAAAGACCTTATATGAGGATTTCCAGAACTATATCCTTTAGTACCTATTTTTCTAACGTGCAAAAATCATACCCTTACAAAAGCTTGCGGGAATGTCCTTATGAGGAAAGGGTCTATATTTAAAATTAAGATTCAAATGGGCTTTTTTTTTATAGGGACATATATGTTATCAGAAACTCAAACTCAAATCTTACCAGCTCCAAATGGTATGTAGGCAAATTTCTCTCTTGATGCTGGATTATTTTCCTGTAAGTAACGGTCAGGATTATAGTCCAGACGTTCAATCCATGAATCTTTAAGTCTCTGGTTGACCGTGGGAGAAACACACACCTGATGTCCTGGAGGAATGGTATACCCTGCTACAGTCTACAAATAAGATGAACATTATTACATAATTTTGAAATATTCAACCATAAAACCAGATCAGTATAATAAGGCATTGGCATACATTAGATAAACATATATTTAATAGCTAAAGAGTATTACCTCTATTCTCTTTTTTTTTTTAACCAGGTAAAAATACAGCTTTAATTAAAAAATTTCCAAGTGACTCATCATTGGACCAGAGTATTTATAGATTAAAAAAAAGGGCATAATGTGTCAAAAACAGCATCTGATTTTAAAGAGCCTCTCAGGGCTTGGATATGACTCAATGATGAAACACAAAATTATGTATGAGATTCTAGGTTCAATCACTGGTAGAAAGGGGAAACAATGAGCCTTTCACAATTTGACATATACTTAAACACAGCCTAAATTTTAAAAAAATAACACATTATTTAAAAAGTTCTATTTTTAAAACCCTAAAAAATAACAAATATCAGCAATTATGTAAAACCATATTATATATCAAAATTAAGAGATTGAAAATTATGTAAATTTTGCCTTTGTAACTAAAATTTTCTTCCTTGATGTTATCAGATTTTATCACTTTGGTAAACAAAATCTGGGAGCATGAAGAGATATTTAGAAGAGACTCACCTGAGGAGTTTTGGCCATTCTCATCATGGTCATAATAGGAGGTCTAAGTCTTAATGTTTCTTTTATACAGCGATCCAGTAAATTTAGGTCCTTGAGCTAATAAAGAAAATACATACTTAAATTTTGCAAGTACTTAATCATCAGAAGTATATACAATTATTTAAAATTTACAGATTATCACAGACTACCTAAGGACTAGGGAGAAAGTTCAAAGGGCTAGAGCATATGGTTTGCATATGGGTTCAGTCCCAGGAGCCAAATGATCACCACATAAGGTGCTATGTTAGCCCCAAAACAAAGAAAACTTACAAAAGAACTTATATTCTGACACAGATCTAACAGGCTCAGGCTTACTGAAATATCTTCTATTTCTCCACACAGTCAATAAAGATTATGAGGGCATGAGAACAATAAGAGATCACAATGATCACTAGTCTGAAAACACGAAAAGGAACTGGAAGATAGTCCAGCTTAGCATGTACTTGACCCAAATCTGACCCCTGGCACCACTGGCCTCCTGAACACTATGTTGGGTGTGGCTCAAAGGCCCCAGTGACGCCTTGGGTGCTGCCAAGGCCTGAGCAGGACCACATTCTCACTTTGAACCACTAACCTGGTTGGGTAAGAATCGCCCTAGACCCACTAAACACTGCTTGGGAGTCACCAAAATAAAAACAGTATTAGTGAAAGTTACTAGTTTTTCAAAATTCTAGAAATTTAACCAAAGGTCTGTAACAATTGAAGGAAAAATCAAGAAAAAAGCTTGGTGAGAACAGCATGCTCTCTGGTATATAACTTATACTTCTTGCTCTCCCTAGAGAGGCTTGGTAACAAACAGCCTGCTATTACAATAGCTTTGGAAATAAGCAATTGGAAATTACTAGAGAAGTTAAGCCAACTTGTGAAAAAAATAATCAGCAGAAATTATTTAACATTACTGCCACTATCACTTGTTTTTATTTTGTTTTTATTTTAAATGCACAGATCATTCTGGGCCTGCAGAATTCTAAGTAATTCAGAGGCTTCACTTCAAAAAACGAAATACAACAAACATATAATATTACTCTTTCTCAGGTGCCAGACTGAACCAGAGAAAAAGAGTCCTAAGGAAACAACCCCAAGAATCCACAAATGAACCTAAACACACTGAAAAAAATTTAATATCAAGAAGGAACCATATCAGGCTATTTCAGGGAGACATATGGGCAATTTTCTAAAAATCAAAGAACTAGTCAAGTTAATCTAAGAATTAATACTATATAAACGGTCTCTTTCTACAAGTAACCACTGATACTAAAAGTCTTGCGGCAATAATGATACTAAATATCTACAAACCTGATCATAAGATAAAGGAGGGAGGTCCTCTCCACAAACTGTTTTCTGTTCTAGATAACATTTTTCTTGAAGTGCTTTGTCTCTGGCCAAAAAGAAGCCCATCCAGGAACTAGTAGTTGAGGAGGTATGCTGCCCTGCCAGGAGCAGTCCAATAAGCATGCCAGCTATTTCCTCATCTGTCAAAGGACGCCCATCTCTGCAGAATGAACACACACACACACTAACGTTTCAACAGATATCTTTCATCTTCAACACTTAAGGATGCTTAATGAGAAAATCTCTTAGGCATAATGGTTCTTGATGACTCCTTGACCATCGCAAGTCACATAATTCATTTCCCATTAGGGAAAAAGAGACAAAGATATTTTTGTTACAAAAAAAAAGTTTTGGCAGTTTATTAGCACACTTTTCATCACTCCATCATCAGGATTTTACTAAGGCCCACTATCTAACTTCTATCTCATTCCCTTAGGGGGCAAAAAAAAAAAATCAACCAAACAACCAAAGATTAGAAATTTAAGAAATATATAAAAGTCAAAGTACTTGTTAATCCCCAGCACAGGGCCAGAAATAGCCCCTGAGTAGCCCGAACTATGCTCCCCTACCCCCCCAATAAATTCCAAAGATTATTAATTTTCTAGTATCATTACTTCTTAACAAGAAATATTATTTAATTGTATTCTAACGTGTAATTTTTGGTTTCATCTTAATATTGATCTGAATAGATCTTACTTGTAAGTAGAATCAAGTAAAGTTTGGAGGATGTCATCTATTTTTTCTTCGGAATTTCTGCGTTTCTGTATTGCCTTGTAAAATATATTCTTCATCTCTCGATGAGCTCTATCTCTGCGCCTATAGTTAGATAAAATTAAGATAAAACAATGCTTCTAAGCATCAAATTTACTTGAAAATAAGATTTTGCATAAAGCAATCTTATTTAACTTTAATGACTAAAATAATAATGAGGATATGTGTGTATATGTATATATAAACATATCGACATATATAAACATACAGAGATACATCTTGATTTTTACCTGTGTTCTAATAGTCTAGAAAAAAACACAAATGATTCTCTTTAAAATCATTTTCCAGTTCACCAGAAAATAGAATACTTTTAAATTAACCATGAAATTCCAATTTTAACCAAATTATTTGAGCAGGAAAGTCACTGTGGCTCTTATCCAAGATTTAAGGTTTAAGTAAGCAGCATTTAGGATTACTGAGATCTAGGATACTAACTAACTCATATAGTATTTCATTCTACTTTTAGCCTGTAAAATAATATAGTTTTGTGGGGACACAAAATTACTAGTAAGCCAGCAAACAGACTCTGAATCTGTAAGCTTTAAAGTAGGGAGCTTGCTCTACTTTAATCTATAATTACAGGTTCAATATTAGTGTGCTACAATGAACTACTCACTTTATCCTCTTGTAGGCAGATATAATAGCCTTCATTCACAGATAGCTGCATAAAAATCACAGCCACTGGGCAGTAGAGCTGATAACCTCACTACCTACTCCCTCTGATCATGCCTTTTCATAAAAACTGCTGCCCTGCTTCATTTTTATGACTGTTCTTAAGGATCAGTTGTAATACTAAAAACAAAAGAAAAATTTTATTGCTCAATGGTATAAAACAAATAACTTTTTAATAAACTAAAGTGTCATTTTTTAAATGAATTCACTATATAAAGAATGCCTGGCTTGAATAGAGAATAATGATCTCCATCCATTTTATGTTTTATACCTTTATTAATGTATTGATACAATTAAATAAATCGAGCTTAGTTTCCTTCTCCATACCTGAAACTAGGCAAAGGGAGCCAACCTGGCAGTAGCCAGGCTGCGTGGCTGAAACCTCCATCCAAATCCGCATACAGTTGTGCCACCTTCTCATTGAGTTGGCTTCTGATTTCCTTTCCATGTAAACAATGACTAGCTGTCAAAATTATAAGCTCAGAAAGAGCTTCAAACAAATCTAGATAAAGAAAGATAATTGCCAAAACTTTAATAAACGTTTTATTAGAGATACAAAAACATAGAGAAAAACTGAACACTCAAGAACAACGATCCTGTTCACACCATCAAAAGAACCTATAATGAGATCAGAGAGATCATACAAGGGTTGGGGCGCTTGCCTTGCATGAGGCTGACCCCAGTTCAAACTCTGGTACCATATACCCCAGGAATCACCACAAGGGGGCCCTGAGCACAGAGCCAGAAGCCCTGAGCAAAACCAGATATGGCCTCAAAAAAGTTTAGAGGCTGGAAGGCAGCAGCTCTAGTGGTACAACATCATGTATAGCATGTTGAGGCATTAAGTTCAAATCTTGGTACCACCCCACACACTCAACGTCAATCCCAGAGATAACTGGAGCACATAAATGTGTGTGAACTAGAGTCATCACAAAAGCAAGAAAGAAAAAAAAGAGGGAGAAATAATTTTTCAAAATTCAAAATGACCCACTTCCCTACAAAGAAACACTGGGAATAAACCAGAGCAGCTGAAAGCCTTCACTGAATCTGAGCAGTGATGCAGCCTCTGACTCTATCATTGAACCATCCAGTCCAGTGGCTTAGTACTGCATAAAGAGGCCCTCAGAGCACTGCCTATGAGGCCCAAAAATTAATCAAATTTTAAAAAATTATTCAGAGTCAGAGAGACATCTCAACATACAGGAACATATGATCGGCATGCAGGAGGCCTTGGTTCAATTCTCTATCCCCTGGGTATAATTCCAAATACTCATTTTTTTAACAACTAAAATTTTTTATCTATGTCTCAAGCAGATTTACCATATCAAAGTAACAACTGCATCATTTAAGTAAAGACTGTAAAAGTTTAGCACAAAGCCTGACACACAGAAAGTAAATCTTAGCTCTTCCAAACACAGCCAGGAAAAAACCCCAAACAGTAAGCCAGGAGTAGCCCCCCCAAAAAGTGCAGAGTATGGCCTGAAAGTCAAATAAATTAACAAATAAATTAAAATTATTCAATCAATGGTCTACTTTTTAACGCCTTGGTCACCAAATGAACTTCTAATTATTATTTGGCTTTCAAAATAGTTTAACAATGGCGGTGGGTGGAATACAGCAAGTACTCTTTTGTTCTTGGTGCTATAATTATGTCATTTGTTTGAATTTACTATTATCAAGTATTACATTAGCTTCTTCTGTGGTAAAAATTGTTTCACGTATCAATATTAGGTGTAGTTAATAAAATCAGAGGTCAGCAATAGCTCCATGGTAGAGTGCCTGCTTTGTAGGCATGAGCTGCGAGTTTGATTTTTGGCACCACCTTATATGCTAAGTCATCCGTGAAGGCAATACAGCCTGTGATAGCTGACACAGTGAAGTGTGTGCACCCCCATCTAAAGTGCATGAAACCGGGAAGCAATGCAACTAAAAAGTAAGCACCACAGTCAGGTGTGAGACCTCCTATGACAACAAAAAGGGATGAAGGAAATTAATAACTATTTATATGAAATTTCTAGACCTTTCATAAAAGCTGAAGACCCAGGGAGGGGTCTTAGCTCCCATGCTGCCTCCTATTATGGGGATGGCAATAGTCTCTAAAAACACCACCTAATGAAGTCGAATACAAAGACTCGATTCACAGAAATATTCAAAAGCTATCTAAAGATAATAGATTTTAAAAGATATCTATTGAGGGGCCGGAGTACAGCAGGTAGGACGTTTGCCTTGCATGCAGCCAATCCTGGTTTAATCCCTGGCATCCCATATGGTCTCTCTGTGCACAGCCATGAGTAATTTGTGAGTGCAGAGCCAGGAGTTAACACCTGAGTATCGCTGGGTGTGACACAAAAAGCCAAAATAAATAAAAATAAAAGATTTCTATTGAAAATGGCTGAAATTTAACTTTTGTTCAAAATAAGCCATATCTTAATAATTTTCATGGAGTAAAACGTTACCAAAATATTAGATAAGAGTATTACATATGTGAATAAATCTGGACTTTCACTTGCCCATGGCGGGGGAGGGGGGAATTATGTAAAATTTTAAAATAGCCCTGCAATGTTTCACATTTATTTTACTTCAAAATTTAATCTGAAATAATTTCTCTTTTATGTGCACAAATGAACTTTAATAGGCATGTTGTACTACGCAAGCAGCAAGAATTACTTCTTAGATCCTTTTAATTCCATGGAAATAGTAACATTTTCCTTTCTCAGTCTAAGATGGTTTTACATATCTTGTAGTTTATTTTATATATAACACACACATATTCTTAAATTTCTAATCACAGAAAAGTGAAAATAGCAGAACAAATACAAAACCAGAATGTTTTGCTTACTTTTTTCTCCACTTTCTCCCCAACTTTCAAAGTACTCCTTTGTTTCTTTTTCAATTATAGAAACATGCTGTTTAAAATGGGCTATGTTGAGGCCACTTTTTAACATTTTCTTCTGCTCTAAGAAAACCTTAAAAAAAAATTAAGCATTATTTAAAATACAATTCTGTGTTACCTCGATGGATTTTGTTGGACCCACTGAGTTACTACCACTCTCTCAAAAGAAAACCACCTTCTGAAAGTGTGAAAATAAAGTTAAAGGATTTTTTTTTTTTGAGTCACTGTGAGATAGTTACAAAACTGTTCATGAGTTAAAGGATTTTCAAATCTTTATCACATGTGGGAAACAGCACATCCAGGCATCCACCAGTAGTAACATGCAGAAGACACATACTACCCGGACTCTAGAGAAATGATCAATTAAGAGCCCCAACTTCTGCCTTCTTTCTTATGTACCTTCCTCCCACTCCCACCTCCAGGATTCCTTTTCCTCTTTTTCCATTTTCTAATCTTACAGCCTAACCCAGAGGCCAACATTATCTCCCAAAACTTCATTATATTTCCAGGTGTTTTTCATTTTCCTTCACGTATTCTCCTATTTTCTTCGTCCCAACAAGTTCCCATTTTACTATAACTTCCAGGATTTTAATTAAAGTATAATCTTATTTATGAAAGGATAAAATAAGTTCACATGAAGACAACTAGTGACTTTAGCCCTATGGTCTCTATTTTATGAAGCAGATAAACTATGAGAAATGAGTAGCTATATCTGAGCAGTGGGATTTATCAGGACTTAGAAGAAACCCATATATTCTGCCACACCTCTCCTTCCCTGCAAATACAACTATGTCTTACCTGTTGTATTTATCTATTGTTTCTTATTTGGTTAGGGAGTTCAAAGCCAAAGCACTCACCAAAAACTATCAATTATCAGATTTGTGTTACATTACTTGTAGCACTTTGACTTTATCGAAGGTTGTTTGATTTAGGCCATGCTCATGGCCTACACCTATCTCAGTGCTTATAGATCAATCCCAATGGTACTCGAGGATGATGTAATGCCAGGAATCTCCTGCATTATCTAACTGGCCCCTTGTTTTTATAATCAAGAAGAAATGACACAAAGTTCTGAAGACAGCACTCTCCAAATCCAGAAGAATGCTTATAAAGGAATTTCCGGCAGGAGATTCTCCTGATGAAATATTGGGCTTTTAAGTCATGCACTTGAAATCATTAATCTGCTAAGTTGTTATTAATTCTCTTTACTATACAAGAAGTCCCCTAAAATTGCTGGGCCAGCAACTAACTAAAATACCTGCTGTCTGCTAGCTGTGTGCGGGTTTCCTCCTTCTTAATACTATCTTGTGATTTTCCAAATTTCTTTGTGCACTTCAGGGGAAGTGCTGGGGAGGCGGTTGGATATCAAAAATGGAACCCAGGGCCTAATTCTACCCAACCCCTTCTTCAGACTTTTAATCAAAGAACAAATTGTTATATTTAAATATATATACTACTAGTCATAATTATTTGATTTATAACAAGATTTGTCTTTCCTCAAGATAATGTTACCTACTGGATTTGGTACATCATAGGCGACGCCCTTCCCAAATACAGGTGTTGTCAGACGGCTATAAACATCCTCGGCATTCAGGTCTTCATTCTTACTATTAAAAAGCAGTGCAGCGGCATCACTCCCCAGAAGGTAAGTAAACGTCTTGCCCACCATAGTAAAACTAAAAACAGGTCCATACTAAAGAGAAAAGAACCAGTCATTCAAATGTCTCTAAAAAAATATGTAACTCTAAGAACACTAACTCCTTAAATCACAAAATATGCAATTAAAAATAAAAACATTCATAAACTTCAGTGCACATCTTTTGATTCTGTCCAAATTTATAATTATGTCAACCTTGTTGCAAATGGGACATTAACCTAGCTTTTTATTCTTTTTCTTTTTGTTTATACTGAAAATATTTTCTTTCAGACACTGTAATGTTTATAACTTATTTGTCATTATTGGATATGTAGGAAATGTGTCCATTTCTCAGTAATAGATAATTCCATAATGAACATCTCTGAGAACAGTTTTTTTCACCTTTGGTTCAAGATAAAATTTATAGGTAAGGGACAGAAGATATGGATTTTCCTATGAAATTTGCTACATGAAGACACCAAGAGGATTGGTTATCATTTTGTTTGTCTTCTTGTTGTGTTTTGCGCCACACCTGGCAGTGCTCAGGGTTTACTCCTGGTTCTGTGTTCAAAGATCACTCCTTGCAGGGCTCGGGGAGCAGCTGAGGTGTCCGGAATTGAACTCAGGTCAGGTGCATGCAAGGCACCTTCCCACTATCCTATTGCTCCAGTTCCTGTCATCAGTTTTATCATTGTCCCAGAAACATTAAATGATTTCATTTTCTATTAATCTTACTAAATGTTAAGTGCTTTATCTTGCAGTATTTTGCTTATTATTATAAAAAATTAGGTAGTGGCGATATAATTGTGAACTGCTGTCAATGACTAATAAAACTGTCTACTGGAAACATACAACTTAACAAATAATTACTAAATGTATATATAAAATTGTAAATGTGACAATATTATACAAAGGGAAGCAATTCTGTAATAAATCAGCCACAAAAGAGAGACCTAAGAATGCAAAAGACACCTGAGCTGATAGTGTTAGTATAAGGGCCAAATAAGGACAAAGGTCCCAAAGATAAAAGAGAGGGTTCAAGGATAAGATGAAGGCTGGCACTGGCAGAACCTAGGATATATAGCACATTGTTAGTTGGATTCAGGATGCTTTTTCCTTGCAAACAACGGATAGTTATGGAGGATTTAAAGGGCATGGGAAAGACAGCATCGTGTATTTTAAAAGATCCCTTTAGGTACTACATAGGGAAAGGGAGAGACAAAAGCAAAAAGATGCAAAGGAACAACTAAAGCCTCGTGTAAAACCTAGTGATAAGAACTTTTGTACAGGGCAGTGGCGATAAAAATGTAATAATTATTTTGGAGAGAAACTCTGTAGATCTTATAACAGACTGACAGAAAGCGAGGAAAGTATCAAGAATGGATTCTAGTCTTCCAGTTCTAACAAAATGGGACGAACAGTGGCCAGAGAGATAACAGAGGTTAAGGCACTTTCCTTGCATGTGTCCAACCTTGATTCACTCCCCAACACCACCAATAGTCCCTGAGCACAAATCCAGGAGTAAGCCCTGAGCACTGTTTGGTGTGACCCACCAAAAAAACAAATTGAAAACACTAGAATAATTATGAAAACAGGATAACTAAGATTAGAGATAACCAGCAACAGAAAACAAATTGTCTACTGTTGCCTTTTCAGCAGATCTGAGTGTTGGGGTAAAATCTCAAATAATAATGGTGGGTCTGGTGTCAAAATATTGAATGTGATCAAAGTAGAGAGAGAGTAGTGTGGAAATTATCTGCCCCACAGGTAGGGGTAGGGTGTGGGATGGGGGTATACTGGGGCTGTTGGGGGTGCAGAATGGGCACTGGTGAAGGTACGGGTGTTTCACTGTATGACCAAGACTTAGACCCGAAAGCTTTGTAACTGCTCTCAAGGTGATTCAATAAATAAAATTATAAAAAAATTTAAAAAAATCAAAATTTTGACTTTGCACCAACTAAGAATCATGTAGAAGTTAAATATCCAGGCTAGCAGCTTGGAGAAAAGACCTTACGCATAAACATTAATTTGGGTAACATCTATCCACAGTTGGAGCTGAAGGGAGGAACCAACTCCCCTAGAAAAGAATTAAGGCCTAGGACCAAACAAAGAAAACCCTAATAGCAAATGGTCAAGCATGAACCTACAAAATGAGTTAAAAAAATAGTCAAAGATATAGGATGAAAAAAAAAAAGATATAGGATGAAAGAAAAAATAAAACACAAGAAGAGTAGTCATTAGCAACAAACACATAAGAGAACAAGTTCATTCATTGAATTAAGACATGGAGATCACCAAGAAAAGAGAAAGCCAGACTAGAATAAATACCAAGTGGTCTTGAAATATAGTTCACACAGACTATATTTAAGAGGGTCCTTAAGAGGGGAGAGACCTTGGCAGGAGACTAGGTGGTAGTAAAGACTGATCTTTTTAAATGAAACGTTGGCAATGCTTTAAAAAATAAAAAAAATTAAGTTCCTACTGTAAGTCATAGCATACGGTTCCAGAGACAAAAAAGAAAACGCAGTTTAGCCTCCCATAGAAGACAAAATAGTATAACAAAATCAAGGCGATAGTGCATAGTGAGCAAGGATCAGTGACAAAATTCTTGTGTCAGACTTCCTGGGTGCAACTCCTAACTCTTTCACCTACTAGTTAAATGACCTTAGTTCTAGAGTAGAAATTTAATGTTGAGTGCTTTGCTTCCCTTTATCTGTGCCTATAAAATGGGCATTAAAACAGTACCTATGCTGAGGACAGGGAGAACTCAAAGGGCTGGAGCTCATGCTCTGCATGCAAGAGGCCCAGGTTTCATCCCCGGCACTTCATGGTACCCCATGCACTGCAGGGAGTGGTCTCCAAATACCAACTCTGGGAGTAGCCTCTCAGTGGACTGCTAAGAATGGCTCCAAAGCAACTCCAGGGCTGGAGCTCAGCAGGCCAAAGGGTATGCTTGACACGCACAAGTCCTGGGTTTGATCTCAACTACCATCAGGAGCAAATCCCAAACTCCAAGCTGTGAATCACTGGGTATGGCCCCAAAACCAAAACCAGAAAACAATAATTCATAGAATTGTTCTAAAATTTTAATTCTGTATACATATGTAAATTATGGTAAATATTATAAGTGTACATATATGCAATATATGTGTATATTATGTGCCTATGATGACTGTTTATTAGAGACTACAAATTTAAAGTAACTTACTATAATAAAGCACTTTGTTTTAATATTATTACTAAAGGCACAATTTTGGAAATCAAGTTGTATGTGAATCATGCTTGATCATTAGCTAGGATTCTATAAAATAATTCTCAGTTTTGCCATCAATAAAATGGACGTACCAGACAGGATATCTGTGTAGCTTCAGAGGTATCACTGAAACACTAGCATCACTGAATCAAAGAACTACTGGTATAAAGTAAGTTACCTTATAATTGGGCTGGAGAGATAGCATATCGGGTAGAGCATTTGCCTTGCACGCGGCCAACCTGGGTTCGATTCCTTCGCCCCTCTCGGAGACCCGGCAAACTACCAAGAGTATTCCGCCCGCATGGCAAAGCCTGGCAAGCTACCCGTGACATACTGGATATGCCAAAAACAGTAACAACAAATCTCACAATGGAAACGTTACTGGTGCCCGCTCAAGAAAATCAATGAACAATGGGAGGACAGTGCTACAGTGCTACCTTATAATTATTAGTGTAAAATAAAGAAATGGGATAATATAGTTATAAGAAGGGTTGTATGTTTGAAATTGAAAACACAAGAGAGTTCCCATTGGATGGTATGTAATCTCTGTATAGTGGAGGTAAGTTGTCTGTTTTGATAAAGGGATAGGAAGAGTCAGAAGTTTAGAAAGGCGGAGGTAGCACTTAGTCATAGCAGTGAGTAGGAAAATCAACCTCAAGAATTAACATGGTTGTGGAACAGTGTTCCAAGTTCTTCCAAAGATGGTAATGAGGAAATTAGGAAGGAATTAATCTGCTATAAGGAAGAAGAAAAGGAGAAGCAGTATCACTCCCATCCAAGTTTAGGATTTTACCAGTATCATGATGTGATCCAGGGGCAAAGAAGTTTAAGACAGTGGGAAGAGTCTACTGAAATGATGGATCATGGACCCAAAAGTGGATAAAGGAAAATAAGAGTGATAAATCAAGAAAAAGTAAGGTAAAGGTAAAGGCCCTCCCGTTGTTCATCGATTTGCTCGAGCGGGCCAAGTAACGTCTCCATTGGAGACTTTGTTGTTACTGTGTTTGGCATATCGAATACGTCACGGGGAGCTTGCCAGGCTCTGCCCTGCGAGCGAGATACTCTCAGTAGCTTGCCGGGCTCTCGGAGAGGGGCAGAGGAATCGAACTCGGGTCAGCCATGTATGCTGGCTGCGTGCAAGGCAAACGCCCTACCGCTGTGCTATAGCTCCAATGAGATAATAAACTAGAATCTCTCATAAGATAAAAAAAAAAGTTTAGTTGAGCAAAGAATAAGTTTTTGTTTTCAAAAGACAGAATGCCCAACTTCATAATCTGGAGGTGAAATAATGGACTTGTGAAATGAAATGGCTAAACTGGTACAAGAAAATTCACTGGAAAGAAGGGCAAAGGTCTTAGTGGCCACAATTCTGTGGCTGAACAGTGGAACTGAAGTCATAATCACCTCAGCATATGGGAAGGAAGGTCTCCGAGACCCCTCCAGCTTTTAATTAATCTGCCCAATTTAATGTACTTTAAATAACAGTTAAGATAGAACTTAAGGTAGAACTTTTTAATCTTTTGCCATTTAAGAGAATATTGTGGAAAACACTAATTTTTTTTCTAATGATTTGAAATGCTTACCTTCTCATATGCATTTTCTAGGAATTCAATTGGACTTTTCCCAAATGCTATGGCATGTCCCAGGAATGGAATTGGGGAAAAAATGTATGGTGGACTTTTCTGCAAGGGAAAATAAAAATTACTTTCATTTAATGTTTCATTTTAAGAGAATCCCTGTTCAATGACTAAATAAAAATTTCCAATAATACTAAAGTTACCCCAAAATAAAGCATCACAAGTAAAAGTACAGTTAAACTTCGAGGTATCTTTGGAAAGTAACCAAAGTAAACAGAAATTCAAAACATGGTGTAAAATAAATAGACTAACACAAGCATACTATAGCTATAAATGGTGTATACAATTCTTAATATGGCTCTGGTTTCCTAAACTCTATTTTCTACACCACTTATTAGTACCATTCAATTTTAGTTTTAATATCGTAGAAAGTATAGAAAAAGATACAGTAACAGAATATAACTAAAAAATATTTAAGAAACTACACATATCAGTAAATAGAACACATCTGATACTTTTCTCCTTGCAAATGGACTAGATCCACTGATTTTAAAGAGTAAAATGGCAGAAACTCTTTAGGACTTAAAAGATACCTTGGATGACCCCAAATGAGCCTTGTAGATTACAACCTTGAGTCTCCAGCAAACCAAACTCGCAAATACGAAAAAGAATAATACTCCTCAGATCTTTGACGAATTAATAAGGGGCACTAGAAACTCTTAGGTAACGGTAACAACCATCTCAAAACACTAACACTTCCTCGCAAATCCCAAGGGTAGGGAAAAAATGCTGTCTACTAGCGTTATGCACTATTTTATTTTATGGGAGAGGGCGGTAGGGGAAAACGGGGCCACACCCAAGTGCTACGTTCTTACTCCTGGCTCTGAGTCCAGGAGTGATTCCTGGCCGGGCTCTGGGGAACCAAATGAGGTGCCAGAGATGGAACCTGGGTCCACCGCGTGCAAGACAAGCTCACTAGCCACCTGGCCAACCGTTTTTAAACAGTCTACTGTCATTAAAAGTTTAAAGGCTACTTGGGGGTGGGTGATTAAGGATGCATTCACCAAATATACTACTTGAAGAGCACTCCAAATCAATACCACTCTACCAAACTGCAACCTATGCCTCTTGAAATAAAGCGCCATGAGGCTAATGCCACAGCCCAGGGATCACTGAAAAGGGCGGCCATTAGCCGGCCAGTCAGGTCACTGGAGCTACCGGTGGTGTGGCCGGCACAGCCATCACGACGGACCACAAACCCCTCCAGCAAGACTCCGGCCAGCAGAGACCCCAAGCCGGAAAGGCCTAAGACAAGGCACGACAGCCACAGTTCAAGCCACCATAAGGCCCTCTACTTACCCCCATCTCCCCTCACCCCGGCCCGCCCAGTCCCCAGCGCAGCTGCCACAGCACCGCGATCGTCTCCATCCCCGCTACGACCCAAGGCCGCCGGAGGGGCCCCCGCCGCTAGACCCCTGCGGTAGGGAATAGGGGGAGTATGTGTGTGCACGTACCGCCCCAGCAGGTAGAGGGGCCAGGTGACCGACAGCAAGGCGGAAGAGGTAGACGAGGCTGAGCGTAAAGGCGCAGGCGAGCAGCAGCATGGATAGAAGGTTGCCACCGGTCACCTGCTCCATCGCCTGCCCCAACACCGACCCACCCGCCTGCAATAAGCCCAGCAACACCATCCCGAGGCCGCCGCCGCCGCTGCTGCTTCAGCTCTCCGGAGATGCTGGAGGCCGAGGTCGCCGCTGCTTCTCCAATTCGACCCGGCCAGAGAAGCGGGCCAGATGGGCGATGGAGGCGGCCCCGGCCTCCAGGTCTCCTACTAAAGCCAATCCCACCCCCTACTCCCGGCTCCCTCGCGCGCCACCCGGCGCGTCACGGACGGGGGCGGGGCCGCTCGCAGGCCACGCCCCTTAAGTAGGTCTCTCGATGCTGATGTCTCCTTGCGCCGTTAGAGGGGGCCTGAATAAGCAGGCTGTACCTAGGATACAAATGGCACAGACATGGAAGCAAATGTAGGAGAAAGGAGAGATCATCCCCAGAGGAGAGCAGGCCACCAAGTCTCTGTTCCCCTCGGTTAGGGGCGCCAGGACACGAGGCCGGGAGGAGCTGGGCGGAGGGATCTCGGGAGGAGGTTGAGGCGGGACGGCTCGAGGAGGACCCGAGCTCTGTGATTGCACCGCGGGAGCGTGAGGTGATCTCGTCTTATGTGGCGTCAGCTGGGTCGCTGGCTGGAGCGCCGCCCCGTGCCTCAGCGTTCGAACCCGCGGCACCTCACGGCCGCTTGTGGTGACACGAGAATTTCACCAGATAGTTGCGGGAGGGGAGCCCGTGAAAGATGTCTCTTCACAGTGATGGGTGGGACTAGGAGATCAGGCCCTCCCTAACCCAATTAAATCAGCCTGACTGGCCATGAAGGTAATAAATATATTTTGGTTATTTGGTATGCTGGATAATATGGAAAGCGGTTCTTCAGAATAAATTTCGAATGTTACAGAACACGGTGAACTCTGAGGTAGCCTTCCCACAAGAACACGAGTTTGGCCGCAGAGCAGCTAGAGTTTGAAGCCAAATGCAGCCCCCAACTACAGTCAACGTGGTCTCTGGGTGGTATCAAATGAGCGTGTTTATAAAATATCAGATACACAAGCCAGGACCAGATTTATATATCAGGTTGTCATTAAGCAAGGTGTGTGAGAGGCGCCGGAGATAAGACAGTGAACGAGGAAACCACAAACCTTTGGAGAAAACCCAAATCTCCAACTCCTTTCCTAGAAATCTTAACCTTCCTCACAGTTAATCCCAACCTGAATTTATCTCTTCCCACCCTTCAGTCAATTAACTTGCCAGTTCTACAGTGCGTATGTAGGCAGGGCATCACTAGCTACTTCCCTCCCCTCATTTCTAACCAGTCACTAAAACCTGTTATTCCAACCACTTCAAAGTTTCCTCAATCTGAATTGTCTCTTCTTAAAGCTTCTCATCCTAACTACTACAGCGATGCAACAGTCCACTTTTTTTCTTTTCCCAACTTTATTTTTTCAGGAATGTTTTATGAGAACGTGATTTACAAAGCTGTTCATAATAGAGTTGTTTCAGGCATACAAATGTTCAAACATCAATCCCACCACAATGTCCTCCTCCTTCCACCAATATCCCCAGGTTCCTTCCCATCCCCCAGCCTATTCCCTCGGCAGACATGTTACTTGGTCCAATAAAGCTTAAGGGAATGTCAAATAGAATTATCCGAAAATAAATCAATAAAATCAATTTGTGATGATTAATAAATGTTTTCAACCTTTCTTAACCTAGTAAACAACTATTTATATCATTATAGTCACTTGATGCCACATGATGGGAAATTTCTCCTGTCCTTTAAAGGAGCAATTTTAACATTTCTTGCAGAACTGGTTTCAAGGCTATGAATTCCCTAAGATGTTTTGCATCTTGGAGTACACTGATTTTTGTCCTCAGCTTACTGTTACTATTGTTGAGGGAATTTTTCACTTCACCTACTAAAGTCTTTATTTCTGTCATTTCTGCTTGCAGTTTCCTCACTTCTGTTCTCATATCCTACCTATTGTGGTTTGGGGGCAGTCCATTCCGTTGTTTCTTTGAACTCCTCAAATGTCCTTGACATTTCTTCTCTAAAGTCAGAGAAGTTTTATACCTGGTTACTATTGGTTGGTTCTTCAGGTCTATCATCTTCATTCATTAAATGTGGTGAGGTTCTGTGTTGCTTTCCCATTGTGACTTTTGCAGTCTGGTATGATTTGTGTGTTGTGAAGATCAGTGACTAATTTTGTCAGTTTTTGGTCTCTGTGAGATAGGAAGTGAAGAAAAATATCGCCACATTACAGGCCATGGGTTGCAAAAAGCCCTGACCTAGGGGTAAGATGGCAAGTTCCTAAGCACAGCTTCCTAGGCTCAGAGTCATCTTGAGTTGAACCCCTAGTTTGGTCATAAGTCTGTGCTTGGTCATTTGAGAATTTTGAACCTCAGCCTGGGATAGGGTAGGGCAACTTCACTGTAGATCCCATCTAGATTTAAAGGTTTTGTTGTTTTGTTTTTTAATTATTTCTGAGGAGCCCCTTCCTGATTGTTTACCTAACTAGCATCAAAGAGCTTTGCAAAAATCCAAAACAATGCACCTTATCATTAATTTTTGTTTTCAAATATAAAACTGTTTTCAAATATAAAAACAGAAAATTTTTTTTCAATAATTTTTGTTTTCAAATGGATTCCACAGCCACTTGAGACATGGTGACAAGTGAAGAAAGAGAAAGTAGAGAAAAATGCATTTCAGTAACATGATCTTTATGGAAATAAAATTGTTCCTTCTTAATCTTGGTTTTTTGGTGTTTTTTTTATTTTTGCTAGTAAACTGAAATTATGAATTTTTCTTATATGTGACTTTCTGAGCTGGCACTTAAAAGAAAATTTTTTCTTTTGGTTTTGGGCCACCCCGGGCTGTGCTTAGGGTTTACTTCTGGCTCTCCACTCACAGATCACTCCTGTTGGGCTCAGAAGGTGGGATTTTAAGAAAGCACCTTAATTTCAAGGCAAAAACCTTACCTACTATACTATCTCTCTGTCCTCCATGAGCTACCATTTTATTTTTCTCTTACTGACTTGCACTGAGTTTTAATTGGCATACTTCTAAAGATTGCAAGTTGGAGATGAAGAATTGTTTAACTGCAGCAGAGATTGAGACACTGCATTGTTTCTGAATGCTTGGGGATAGAAGCAGTGGCAAATAAGATGATAAGATCACCTCACAAGGGTGTAACAAATAGGTAAAATTAAGTAAGGATGAATGGTTAATATATAAAAACATAGGTCACTATATAGGAGATCAGACAGGCAGATAGTGAGAACACAGAATGAAGATAGGTAGATGGTGTGACTGACTGGATCCTAGAATATTCTGATTTTTTTCTAAATGTATTTTATGGATTCTGGTCTAATCTCTAGGCATTTAATTCACTTAGAATTAACTTTTGTGGGGCAGAGAGATAACTGAGTAGGTAGGGCAGTTGCCTTGCACACAGCTTACGTGGTTTCTATCCTGGCATCCCATATGATCCCCTGAGCTAGGAGTAATTTCTGAAGCAGAGCCAGGAGTAATATCTAAATATTACAAAGTGTGCCCCCCAAACAAAACAAAAGAATAATCTTTTATATATGGTATAAGATATGGACCAAATTTCTCTCCTTCCTCCCTCCCTTCCTCCCTCTCATCTTCCATCCTTTCGTTGCTCCACTTCCTGCACCTACTTCTGTTGTCATATATTGACTATTCATAGGTCTGAGTGTTTATCTCTGGACTTGGAGTTCTAATTCATCAGCCAGACAATCTATCCTTATTCCAGTACCATGCCATTTGGCTTTGTAGTATAATTAAAATTCAGGAATTGTGATAAAAAACAAATCTCAGAACCCAGCAGCTCTTGGCAGAAATGCCTCCAGACTTTTCATTAGGCCACCTTCGCCGGGCCACCCCAGATGGGAGCAGGTGCTGTCCCTCCACCTGTTCCCTAGGGATCCTGGTGGCAACCATCTTCCAGAATTCATTGGAAAATCCAGGTACAGGCCAGCAGTGACAACACACGCTGGGCCTCACAGGATAGGGGAGGAGCCAGTCCTCCTCCTCCCCCACCTCAATGGGACCCTGAGATGCTGCTCATGAACATGTCCCTCCCCCCACTTATTGAGCTCCTTAACAGCCATGATCCCAGAGACAAACAAACAAATCTCAGAACTGAGTGAGAAATTCCTTGATACAAATCTGTCCAGACCTAATTATTAAAATTTTAGAATTCCAAGATCGGGCAGGCCATGCAACATCATATGCTATTCATAACCAGCAATAGAAAACAATTTTTCTAATGTTGCTTTTTTCGGCAGATCTGAGTGTTGGGGAAAAATTCCAAATAATAATGGTGGGACTGGTGTCAAAATATTGAATGTGATCAAAGTAAAGAAAGAGCAATGTGGAAATTATCTGCCACACAGGCAGGGGTAGTGATGGGGGTATACTGGGGTTTTTGGTGGTGGAAAATGTGCACTGGAGAAGGGATGGGTGTTTTATCATTGTACGACCAAGACTCAAACACAAAAGCTATCTAACTGTTCTCATGGTGATTCAGTAAATAAATTAAAAAAATAAAGTTGCATGGTGGACCCTCCCCACAAAAAAATTATTGAGCACATTTTTTTCTCAGTATGGCTTTGGCTATTCAGGGAGTTTTTGATTCTATAAAAACTGTATTAGTATTTTTCCAAGTACTTTAATAATGTCATTGATACATTGACTGAGATTGCACTGAATCTGTATAATAGTTTGGTAGGATCGTTATTTTGATAATTACTCCAGTTTATGAACATGAATATTTTTCTATTTTCTGATGGCCTCCATTTTTTTCATAAGTGACTTCTAGTTTTCAAGATATAGATTTTTTTTTAAATATGTAGGAGTTACTGCTATTTGTTCAGCCATTGATTAAGCTGATTAAACTGGGCATGAACTCCACATTATTTTTTTTGAATTGTATCACGGTGAGATAGAGTTACAAAGCTTTCATGTTTGAGATTCAGCCATACAATGATAAAACACCCATCCCTCCACCAGTATACATTTTCCACCACCCATATCCCAATCCTCACCCTGCCTCTGTGGCAGACAATTTCCCCAATACTCTCACTCTGATTTGGGACATTATGTTTTGCTTGAAATTTCCCATCATCATTCAAGCCTACCTGCCAGGGGCAGACACTAGGTCATTTATTTTCCATCACTCATTTTGAATATCATGAGAGCTTGCACGGCCTTAATTGTAAATATAAATTTCTAGATTGTAAATAGTTGGATTCAGAGGTATATCTGTATGGCACTAATCCATTTTGGGATTCAGTTGGGAGTCTCTAGGCCAGGGTTGTTGGTGCACTAAGATGGCACCCACCTGAAGGCAAATTGTGGGCATGACATTCAATATGCTGGGTAGGCGGGGACCTGGGGAGCAACAGCCCGGGGCCTCTGCTGCCAGCTTGATTTTATTTATTTTATACCCCCACAAGATCTTTACCATGAATAACTTGATTCCCAGGTATTTGGATGCCATTATTTATATATAGAAATGCAACAGACTGGAACCTGCAAACCTGGGCCTTGCTTGTGGAAGCTCTTGGTCACCGGGATTCCATCTGGAGTAGGTGGGGAGAGCACACCTGCTCCTTCTGGGGTGCCCTGATAAAATTGGCCCATTATGGGGCCGGGAGAGATCTCCAGCACTGTAGTATCTTCTGGGACTTGCTGCTGTGTCTCAGGGTCAGGGCTGTTGGTGAGCTAAGAGCCACATTACAAAATTTTCAGCAGATTTTATCTTGGTGAGGTCCATCCTGAGACAGTGGAGTCAGTCTGGGGGTGTGGTGGCGATTTTGGATTGTGGAAGCAAGTGGCTGCCGGGGGCACTGCTTGGGCGGGCACAAACCAACCCACCCCCCTCCTATTTACCCCAATCTGTTCAACCATGCACAGGTCTGAGCTTTTCTGTGGCTTTTGATACCTTTTGAGATTTATCTATGGATCTCCAAAATAAGGCCAATAAATGAGCTTATATAGCTGAGCCAGAGGCGATTTGTGGGTGTTGCTTCCACATACCTAACTTTTGACCATTTAGTTTCTTGGTAAACTTGGTCCCAAGTTGTTGGGTTCTGGGCATAGGCACAGCGGCAATTTTGGGGTATCAGGAAGCCTGAAGGCACCATCAAGCTGCTGATGCACTTGACCCGCAGGTACAGGTTGACCTGCTGGTGGCACCATACCCCCACAAGATCTTTACCATGATTTTCTAAGTTGATTCCCAGGTATTTGGATACTATTATTTACATATAGAAATGCAACAGACTTTTATATATTGATTTTGTGACCAATACATTGTTGTACTGAGTCATTCATTCTTCTAGATTTTTAGTGGAATGTTCAGGATATTCATATATACATATATATATACACATACCTGATGCATATAGTGCATATAGTGATAGTTTGACATTTCCTTGTCTAATTTGAATTCCTTTGATATTTTTTATTGCCTGAAAGAACTTCTAAGACTATATTGAATAATAGTGGAGAAAACGGCCATCATTGTCTTGTTCTCATAGAATCATAGAAATTCTTATCCCTACTATAAGACTTTATTTATTTATTTATTTATTTATTTTTATTTTATTTTTGCTTTTTTGGGTCACATCCAACGATGCACAGGAGTTACTCCTGGCTCTGCATTCAGGAATTACCTATGGCAGTGCTCAGGAGACCAAATGGGATACTGAGAATCAAACCCACGTGGGCCCTATGCAAGGCAAATGCTCTACCTGCTGTGCTATTGCTCCAGCCTTGCTACTATAAGACTTTAAAATACCAGAGAAATACTCAATAGTTTAAACATTATTCATATTGCATTTCCAGAGCAATAGCAAAATATATATATATAAACTTAAAATTTCAACCTGCATAATCAGTTACTTTGTTTAGACACTCATCACAAAGTTTTCTGTTTTCTTAGGGTAGACATTATTTTATAAAATAACAAAAATTGCTCTATGTCTACAGTGTCTGTAGCATCGGTACAAAGGATAGTATAAATGAACTGACCTGCCTCAAATGACATTCTCAAAATCAAGAGAAATTGATCAATGAGTAAGCTTACTATTAGTCACTGAGGGGAGAGTGGGAGAAGATTGCATATGAAAAGCCAGCTCACCCTGATCCATGAACTAAGTTCCCACGTAAAAGCTTTGTGAAATAGAAAAATGGAAGTGGAAGAAAGCATGTATTACAGGCAAAATGACAGATGGTCACATCACCAATTTTCCAAGGATAGTCAATTAAATTTCTACTAACCTTAACCCTGATTTAGGTTTAAGGGAGTGGTTTTTAGGGAAGGAGGGGTTTAGGCTAAGCATAGCAGTGCCCGGGGATTACTATAACTTTTGCGCAGTACCAATTTATTTTTAACAATGCTGCCCAATCCTAAATGAGAAAAAATATAGTTCTATCAATATTAAAGTCAGCATCTAAAAAGAAGCTGTCTAGTGAAAGTCACTGATCACCTTATTACCTACAAATCTTGGTTTCTTTAAAGATTTTATTTTGAATTGTTTTATCCACACCCACCGTGTGTGAAGGTTTCTCCCAGCTTGGTGCTAGGGGTTTCTCCTAGCAATGCCAGAAATTGAACACTTGTGCTCCAGCTCTCTGAGTCATCTCTCTGGCCCATGTAATAAGTATATTATTGAGTTTATTTCTTTTAAAACTTATTGAAATTTCAGGAGCATATGCTGCCTGAGCCCATGTGCTACTTATGCCCACATGGTGGAGCACATGTGGTGCCAGAGCACATGTGTTGCCCTCATATTCTCTTTTGAGATGTGTACTTTCATGTCTAATGTTAGGAGCTGTAGGGGCTCTCTCTCCGCCCTTGGAGAAGTCTGTGTTCTCTCTTGAGTACGTTACTCTCTCACTCTCTCCCCCTCCACACCTTTAAAGGTAAAGGTAAAGGCCCTCCCGTTGATCGTCGATTTGCTCGAGCGGGCCCAGTAACGTCTCCATTGGAGACTTTGTTGTTACTGTGTTTGGCATATCGAATACGTCACGGGTAGCTTGCCAGGCTCTGCCATGCGGGTGAGATACTCTCGGTAGCTTGCCGGGCTCTCCGAGAGGGGCGGAGGAATAGAACTCGGGTCGGCCATGTTGGCCGCTTGTAAGGCGAACACCCTACCGCTGTGCTATCGCTCCAGCCTTTAAAATCTTTAAAATCCTTTAAAATCCTCCAAAATAAAATTTATTTCACAAAAAAAGTAATTGAAATTTCAAAATAAATGCACAAAACATCATCTTTAATTTTTGCTACATTCAAATGGTATACATGTTTATTATCATCTCTTAGAATGCATGGAAAGAGAGAATCACAATCACGATCATCCTGTTGTTCATTGATTGCCTCAAGCAGGCACCAGTAACGTCTCCTTTGCCCTAGCCCTGAGATTTTAAAAAGTGCCATATTCAAGGCTCAGGGTATGGAGAATGAGACCCATCATTGTTACTGGTATTTGGCATATTGGGTACACCACAGGGAGTTTGCCAGACTCTGCCATGTGGGCAGGTTACACTCGGTAGCTTGCCAGGTTGTCCAAAGTAAGAATGAAATAATAAGATGCTTCCGGGAGCTGGGTTTTATAGTCTCTGGGTCTTGGCCGTTGATGGGATTACACAGTGTCGGGGGGGAAGTGGGGGGACAGTTGGTGGGTGTGACCCCTGCCTACTGGAAGGTGGAGGATCTGGGTGGAGGATGCTCAGCCCCGATCCGAGCAGGCTTGGAGATCTCAGCCCCGGGACCCGCATGCCTTTGTTCCTCTCCTCTGGAAGCATTCTCCACCCAGATCCACCATCTTCCAGTAGGCAGGGGTCACACCCACCAACTGCCCCCCAGCGCCGTGTAATCCCATCAACAGCCAAGACCCAGAGACTATAAAATCCAGCTCCCGGAAAGAGAACAGCAGAACAGCGCAGAATCTCCTGCCCCTGCACCTGGCTGTCCTCACCGGGGGCCCCTTGGAGGGGGGCGGGTTGAGTTTCCTCCCCACCCCAAGCAGAGCCCCGGCAGCTTAAGACCTCCAGAACCAGTCACAACCATGCTGAGACCACTCTCCACATGCATGAAGGTACGGGCAGAGGAACAAAGGCATGCAGGTCCCGGGGCTGAGATCTCCAAGTCTGCTCGGATCAGAGCTGAGCATCCTCTCCACCCAAATCCCCATCTTCCAGTACGCAGGGGCCACACACACCAACTGCCCCCTGGCACCGTGTAATCCCATCAACGGCCAAGACCCAGAGACTATATGAAAAGAGACATTCTCTACAATTTTATTATAAGGTGAAGCTAAATGTTTCAAAAATTCAAGTTCAGTATATAGATGCATCATTAAGTTTTCAGTTTTTATTATTATTGATCCACTCTTCAGAATTTTATTACACTTGTAGAAAGCTTTAAGACTTTTACTTTATCTATAATTTCAAATTCTCCTATCATTCTAAGTGCTCGAATTAGTTGGTCTATTAATGCAGAATTAGTTATTGACAAGTTGTTTTTTTCTATTTTCCATGTATTAAGTACTTGACAGACTCTCTCCCTAAATGGAAAGGTACTGAAAAATATCAAAATAATAATTAGTTTAATCAACAATTAAATACACTGTTTTAAGCTACTAAAATATTACATATGTAAGTTTCAAGGAGATTTACCAGATCAAAGTAATTATGACTTAGTAAAGATTGTAGAAGTTTAGCATAAAGGCTGACACATAAAAATTTAATGTTACCTCCATGCCATCCCTTATTACTTTGAAAAATAAATTTAACTTAAAATTGAGTTCTAAAAGACTTATGCAAAACTTCAAAAACACTAGTTGTGGATAAATTACATAGACCAATCCACAACAGTACTTCTACTAAAATACTACAAGCTTTGTAATTTGAATTCATGCCAACTCAAGTAATAGTAATTTTACTAGTAAAGGAGCAGAGGCACAGAGAAGTTCAAGGACTTGACCAAGTTTACAAAGCTAGTTGAGACTGAAAGACAGGAAGTTTGTCTTAAGAACCTTTGGACATAACTGTTACACTCACATGGCTATCAAATATGAAATTCTTATTCTACAGTTAATTGGAATAAATGTTAATATGAATGTTTCAAAGTCATGTCATATTAGTATGTTATAAATCAGAACTTGATATTAAGTTTATACTAAATGTATCATACATACCTATTTACAGATATATGGGTTTCCATAGTTCTCTGCTTTAATTTTTGACACAAAAATTCAAAATTGTTTTCAGTGATGCTAACAGAAATTATTGTAATTATCTTCTGTAAGACTTTCTCTGTATTTGAACATAAAAGAAAAATTAGACCATCTCTTGAAAAACATATCTTGAGTTAACATTAGTTCTAATTTCTTCTGCTCCTATCAAATATATATAAAGTAAAAATGAAATTAAAACATAACTCTACATACAGACTGAAATTTGAATAACTTATATCATTTCATCTAAAATTTGAATAACCCTACAATGTAGCATGTCTATTTAAAGAGGTATTATAAGCCACTTCAAAGTAATTTTTAAACTCTTCCTTTATTTTTAGGATTTGAAAATAAACTCAACTCCTCCTTTTACTCATGTCTTATTTATGTATTTTGAGAAATAGATCTCACAACTATGAAAATGATGTACAATCAAGTAACTAATGAATGTGGTATTCATTGTATATAGAGAATTTAAGTTATAAAAAATAGATCCTAGCTAACTTGTTAGATTCATTTTTTTGTTAACAATATTGCTTTGGAAATTTTTAAGAATTAGGAATGCCCCACTCTGTAATCATCCCAGATGTGTTCTATGCTTCTAGGCTTTTATTTTATTGTATGAATAAATGTTACTGATTCAAACCTTTAATCCAAGTGTAGATTATATGATAATAATGTAAATTAAAATTATTACAGTAAGCACTATTTTTAAATAAGAAATTACATGTTCTTTGTTAACTTGGATTAGAGAAAATAGATTAATGGCTCGGGTTCTCTTCTCTCTCCTGACATTTTTTAAAAAAATTTTGGTTTTGAGGCCACATCCAGTTGTGCTCAGTGCTTACTCCTGACTCTGCATGTTGGAATTACTCCTAGAGGGCTTGAGAAATCATATTGGGCATCAGGAATAGAATCAGGGTCAGCTGTGTGCAGGCAAGCGCCCAACCCACTGTACTATCACTCCGGCCCCCTATTTCACCTGACTTTTTTTATGTATTGCCATTACATAAAAGTGTAATATCCTATTACACATTCCCCATTGAGATCTATATGTTTACCCTCTTTGGCAACTTTAGAATTTTTGCGAGAACATTTAATCATTTAACTTTATAGTACTGCACTTCACTAAATTATTCTACCTAAAAGGAATATCCTATGGGTCTTGGGCAACTAAAGTTACAATAGACTATTCCATTTCATAATGATTAGCAGAACCAGCTTGCATAACAAGTTAGAGGGAAAAATCTACTGATCTTTCTTGTTGTAGCACTGTAACACTGTCCTCCCGTTGTTCATCAGATTTGCTCAAGCAGGCAGCAGTAACATCTCCATTGTGAGACTTCTTGTTACTGTTTTTAGCATATCGAATATGTCATGGGGAGCTTGCCAGGCTTTGCTGTGCAGGTGGGATACTCTCGGTAGCTTGCAGGGCTCTCCAAGAGGGGCGGAAGAATGGAACCCGGGTCGGCCTTGTGCAAGGCAAATACCCTACCCACTGTGCTATCGCTCCAGCCCATTTCTTGTTGCAGCTTTTATTTTTCTTCAGTCTTACACTATATTTTGATGTACATACATGCATATTGTGGCTTCCAGAGGATTATGCATTTTAGTGATCATCTAACTAGATTATGAATTTATGTGATATAAAATCCTTATTACTTATGATATGTAATAGAATGATCTGGAGGTTTTGTATGTCCCTTTTACTTAAATCTGAACCATTATTGATTAAGTTTATTTAATTCTTGTTAAATAATGCATTAAACTGTAGAACCATATCCTACATCCTCTCGGAGCGGTGACAATGAACTACGAAGTTCAGAGTTTCAGGGAGAAAGCATACTTGTTGGAAATTCAGCACCAGGGAAAGAACTAAATAGTGAAGTTACTTCTGAAAGTCATAAATAAACTATTCTACATCTGGTCTGATGATAAAACATTAAAAAGCAAACAAACTTGTTCTGGGAAATTGTCAAGCACTACCAAAGGAGAGTTTAAAGAATGGGAAAAATGACGATTGCCCAAGGTTTGAGGTAGGTGATCGTCATGGGCCAAAAGCTGATTGGCATAAATAAGAAGGACCCATGATTTCCTTCAAAGTCAAATATATGTCTTTTAGAAAAGTTACATAAGATCATGAGTGATGAAGGTTGTATGTGAACTTCCATATCTGGCTATAACCGTGAAAATAAGTCTCTTGAAGAATCCCACCACTCCACATAGATTTATCTGTTTTCAATTCTCCAATTTTAATGAACCTTGAAAATAACTGAATTTTTAAAAAGAAAAAAATCTTTACCAGAAGAATATTGAAGATGTAACTATGTTAATGTTTTGGCCAGATTTCACATGATTAAAGCAAACTTTTTTTAAATTTATATAAATAAGGAAATGACTTATAATCTAACTAATCACTTATCACCTACCATCTCTTTCATCAGCTCTCTGTAGATAATGTATAATAGTATTTAACTGTTTTCCTTTACAGATTTCCATAGGTGGTCTTAGCAAAGGATTATTATCAAAATTTATTTCCTTCAGTGAACTAAGTTTGGAGATGCCACTAGGTAGAGCTGTCAGATTGTTTCCTATCAGAAAAAAATTAAAAATAATTGAATTATATACCTTTCTTTTTTTTCCCTTTTTGGGGGGGATCACACCCAGCGATTCAAAGAGGTTACTCCTGGCTTTGCACTCAGTAATCACCCCTGGCAGTGCTCAGGGAACCATTTGGGATGCTGCGAATCGAACCCGGGTTGGCTGCATGCAAGGCAAACACCCTACCCGCTGTGCTATTGCTCTAGCCCCATGAATTATATACCTTTCTATAAAAGAAAACTCTGGTGACAAATATTTGGAGCATCTACTGTGTCTCATTGTCACGATACCAGAAGACCCTCATGATGTTGGAAAATCATAAATTCTTTTTATTTGAGTAAAAACAGTGATAGTTCTTTTTCCTTAAAGATAGAGGAAACATCATTGGAACTTTTATTCTTATAATTTAACAAAGAACTTTATAAAGTAAATGTGATTTTTAATATTTAAACATATTTGGAACACTTTATACTTGCAGAAATTATAAAGACTTTCTATATGCTCCTCCTCAGTTTAGTTTTTCCTAATGTTCCTAATCCCATGAGAAGTAATGTTGAAAGGAATTATATATAAATTAAAAAATGAAAGTTCATGAAAAATTGAACAAGGAAACATGTAGATAAGATAAAGGTAGGAAGCTAAAGACAGTAACAGTAGCACCATCATTTATTATTAACTACCGTTAATGTATATAAACTGATCTCACAAAAGGCACAGATTGGCCTGATGAATTGAGAAATAGAACCCAAAAATATGCTGCTCTCAGGACACAAAATCTATAAAAACATGCTTGAAATAAAGGGATAGAAATGGTACTTGAAACAAAAGCAAAAATTGAATGGATAGAACCATTATACTTGTAGCAGATTAAAGGATTAATGGGGGGAAAGGTGATGGGGTAAAGGCAGGAATTATATAGTGATGAAAATTAAATACTACTGGAAGATATAACACTTATTAGTGTATGTGCTCCCAATACAGGAGCCCAAAATACATAATGTATTAATAAGCCTAACTGTTCTCGCTGCCGGGGCCCCTTGGAGGGGAGCGGGTTGAGCTTTCCTCCCCGCCCCGATCAGGGCTCCGGCAGCCAAAGACCTCCAGGACCAGCCACCACCATGCTGAGACCACTCTCCGCACACATGAAGGTACTGGCAGAGGGACAAAGCCACGCGGGTTCCGGGGCTGAGATCTCCAAGCCTACTCAGATTTGGGCCGAGCATCCTCCACCCAGATCCTCCAAATTCCAGTAGGCGGGGGTCACACCCACCAACTGGCCCCCTGGCGCCGTGTAATCCCATCAGCGGCCAAGACTCAGAGACTATAAAAACCAGCTCCTGGAACCCAGACATCTTATTAAAAGGTAAAAGGTAAAGGCCCTCCCGTTGTTCATCGATTTGCTCGAGCGGGCCCAGAATCGTCTCCATTGGAGATTTTGTTGTTACTGTGTCTGGCATATCGAATACATCACGGGTGGCTTGCCAGGCTCTGCCGTGTGGGCGAGATACTCTCGGTAGCTTGCCCGGCTCTCCAGGAGGGGTGGAGGAATCGAACTCGGGTCGGCCATGTTGGCTGCGTGCAAGGCAAACGCCCTACCACTGTGCTATCTCTCCAGCCCGGACATGTTATTATGACATCTTATTATCTCATTCCTACTTTGGACAAACTGGCAGGCTACCGAATGTAGCCTGCCCACACGGCAGAGTCTGGCAAACTCCCTGTGGCGTACCCAATATGCCAAATACCAGTAACAATGATGGGTCTCATTCTCCTAAAGAGCCTTGAATATAATCTCAGGGCTAGGATGAAGGAGACGTTACTGGGGCCTGCTCGAGGGAATCGACGATTAACAGGATGATTTGTGATTGATTTGTGAACTGGAGAGATGAACAAAAATACAATAGTACGGGCTTTTGTGACTTTAAATTTGTTTATTTTCTCCCTCTCTCTTCCTTTATTATTATTGTTTCTGTGACAACTGGGGGTCATGCATACTTGGTTGTGACTCTCACTTTTGGTTCCAGTGCTCACCAGAGGTCACACACTTTAGTTGTACTGCTTGCTCACAAATGGCTGTGTTGTGCAGAGACTGCACAGTTTGTAGGTTACAAGATTCCAAACAGTAGGGGCTGGAGCAATAGCACAGTGGGTAGGGTATTTGCCTTGCACGAGGCTGACCCGAGTTATATTCCCAACATCCCATATGATCCCCCAGCACCACCAGGAGTAAGTCCTGAGTGCAGAGCCAGGAGGAACCCCTGACCATAGCCGGGTGTGACCCAAAAAGCCAAAAAAAAAAAAAAAATCCAAACAGTAAAGTTCTTTGGTTTGCGGGGGTATGGTGCCACCAGCAGGTCAATCTGTACCTGTGAGGCGAGTGCATCAGCAGCCTGATGGTGCCTTCAGACTTCCAGATACCCCAAAATTGCTGCTATGCCTTTGGCCAGGCCCCAAAAACTTGGGGCAAAGTTTACCAAGAAAGTAAACGGCCAAAAGTTAGGTATGTGGGAAACACACCCACAAACCACCTCAGGCTCAGCTATATAATTGGAGGCATGGCCTCTCTGGTTCCTGATTGAACTGCTTAATGGCCATGATCCCAGAGACTTAGAAACAAATCTCGAAACCCAGCAGCTTTTGGCAGAAATGCGTCTGGTCCCTGTAGTAGGTTACCAGTGCTGGGCCAACCCAGGTGGAAATAGGTATTGTGCCTGGCCTGTTGCCCCCTCCCCCCCAACCCCCCACGGCCCAGTGGCCACCATCCTCCAAAGGCCACTGGACAGTCAGGTTTGGGCCCCCACTGTCGAGACACACAGGGCCTCACAGGATGGGGGTGGAGCCAGGCCTGTCCTCCCCACCCCAACGAGACCCCAAGTCATAGCCCACGAACAGCCTCTCTGGCTTCTGGTCAAGCTGCTTAATGGCCATGATCCCAGAGACTCAAAAACAAATCTCGAAACCCAGCGGCTTTTGGCAGAAATGCGTCCAGACCCCGCTGTAGATTACTGTCACCAGGCCACCCCAGGAGGAAAAGGGTGTTGTTCCTCCGCCTGCTCCCCCTTGGCGGTGCGGTGGCTGTCATCCTCCAGAGGCCATTGGACAATCAGGTCTGGGCCCACAGTGACAAAACTTGTTGGGCCTCACAGGATGGGGGTGGAGCTGGTCCTGGTCTCCCCGTCCCAATGAGACCCCAAGTCATCGCCCATGAATGGCCTCTCTGGCTCCTGATCAAGCTGCTCAACAGCCATTATCCCAGAGACTCAGGAGAAAATCTCGAAACCCAGTGGCTTTTGGCAGAAATCCCTCCAGATTTAAGTGTTAAAATTTTGGAATTCAAAAATTTGTAAGTCTACAACTGTACCTCATGATGTCTCACTAATAAAAAAAAAATTTCGAAATTTCAAAATCACATGGCCCTACTGCAGCCAAACAACATCATGTGTTATTCATAACCAGCAATAGAACACAAATTATCTACTGTTGCCTTTTCAGCAGATCTGAGTGTTGGGGTAAAATCTCAAATAATAATGGTGGGTCTGGTGTCAAAATATTGAATGTGATCAAAGTAGAGAGAGAGTAATGTGGAAATCATCTGCCCCACAGGTAGGGGGAGAGAGTGGGATGGGGGTATACTGGGATTTTTGGTGGTAGAGAGTGGGCACTGGTGAAGGTACGGGTGTTTCATTGTATGACTGAGACTTAGACCCGAAAGCTTTGTAACTGCTCTCATGGTGATTCAATAAATAAAATTATAAAAAATGAAAAAAAAGTAAGGTAGAGTTCATGCACAATTCAATCAGCTAATCAGTGGCTGAATAAATAGCAGTACTCCTACATTTTAAAAAAAAAGTTCTTTGGTTTGCACTGAAGTATGTGGGAGAGTACCAAGGATTGAACTCTTGGCCCATGCTTCAAGGCAGAAGTTTTGTCACTGAGCCATTCCTTGGTTCTCCAATGGTAAGATGACTTTTAACAACCCCTCTTACAGTAGTGAATAAGTCTTCCAGACACAAGTCGATGAGGAAAAAAATAACCTGAAGTGACAAAGTAAATTGTGAACTTAATAAATCATTACTATTTATTGACACAATAACAAAGCAAACCCCAAAGGCTCTATTAAAAAAAACACTATGAGAAATGAAAAATGGACACAATAATGTACTAGGCTACAGAATATACGAAAGTACTGAGTTTCTATATGCAATAAACTAGAAGAAAATGAAATAAAGGAAACAATTTCGTTTATAATTACATCAAATAATTTTCTTTGCTCTGCTGGTGTCCCAGATTCAATCCTCCACCCTGCATTTTGCCCATGCCCCATCTGGGAATAACCCCTAATCACCACTGCGTATATTACTAGAACTAAACAACAACAAAAATAAACAGCTCCCAACAACCCGGAAATGAAACCACACATAAGTGAAATGACTAATTTATGGCAAAGAACCCAAGAATTTAGTGAAACAAGAAATATCATAGTAGTGTTGGGGAAATTGAACAATTAGATGCAAATGAATGAAACTAGAAACTAGACCACTATCTAGCACCATACACAAAAATTAATTCAAAGTGATTTATCAAATTGGATCTAAGATCTGAAGCTATGAAGTACACAGAAGAGTACATAGACACAATGCTCCATGATAGGGACATTAAATGTGTCTTTGGAGATTCAATTCCAATGGCAAAACAAAAGCAAAACTCAACAAAAGGAAGGGCATCATAGAAAAATAACCTATCAGCTGGCCTTCTGTTGGAAGCCTACCACAGTGTTTGGGGAGATTGGGGTAGGAGTGATGGTTGTGGGTAGATGGGAGGAACACTGGGACAGTGGTGGAGGGAAGCCAACATTCTGGTGGAGGATGTAATATTGGAATATTTTATGCTTGGACCTCTATCATTAACATTTAAACTGTAAGTTTACATTGTAAATTGTAAATTATTATGCCTAAAATACAGAAATGCAAGGAATCCAAAATAATAATAAAATTACAAAAGAAAATGGTGAAAGGAAATATGAATTGGAAGACTATTTTCTTATTGCAAAAATTGACAGATATAGTAATCAAAACAGTATGTGACTGGTATTGAATTGACATGCAGATCAATGCCCTGGAATTCAGAATTTCTATGAGGTGGCGTGATAGTATAGCCGGTAGTTCACTTGTCTTACACTTGACTGACCGATGTTCTATCCCCAGAACCACATAGGATCTCCCTAACCTGCCAGGAGTCATCACTGACCACAGCCAGGTGTGGCCAAAAATAAATACGTGTATCTATAACCTTTGAATTTTCATCATGGATACCAAGATCATTCAAATTGGGAGAAACAATCTTTTGAAAAAAATGGTGCTAAAACTGGAAATCCTCATGCAAAAAAAAAAAAAAGAATTTAGACTCCTACTTTATACAATATTAAAGAAATAATAATTTTCCCTGCAAGAGCCAACCCTGTTTAATCTCTGGCACCACATATGGTTCCTTCAGCACTGCCTTGAGTGATCACTAAATCCAGAGACTAGCTTAAGTCCTCTGCACCAACTGGGTGGCCTAAGTCCCTTCTCCACAAATAAACAAAACCCTCAAATCGTCCTCAAAATGGATATACACTGAAAGTAAAGAGATTTAATTTTAAATTTACTTAAAATATAAGATTAAATCTTACTGACCTTGAACTATATTCTTAGATACGACACCAAAAGCACAAACACAAAATAATATATAATTGTATATATGATAAATTCATATAGTAAATGAAATAAAGAGAATGATTTCAAAGTTAAAAAATCCATAATTACGCACTATCAAATCTTTAGACAGAAGCTTACCACAGGGAAGTGGAGGAGGATTAAAATGGGGGGGGAAGGCTGGAGCAATAGCAGAGCAAGTAAGGCGTTTGCCTTGCACGCGGCTGACCCGAGTTCAATTCCCAGCATCCCATATGGTCCCCCAAGAACCACCAGGAGTAATTCCTGAGTGCATGAGCCAGGAGTAACCCCTGTGCACTGCCGGGTGTGACCCAAAAAGAAAAAAAATGGGGGAGGGGTGACACTGGTGCTCAAAGACAGAGTCCCATTCTACTTTCTAATTATTATTATTATTATTATTATTATTATTATTATTATTTTCTCCTTCCTTTTCCTTTTTGTTGCGATGAGCAGGGACCAACACTTGTCTTAGTGCTTGCACATTTTTGATGCACTGTATGGGAGATCAAACACTTTGTTGTGGTTTCGTGAGTCTCAAATGGCAGTGCCACTGAGATCATACTCAGGTCAGGTATGTTGGGGATGCTGGGAATCAAACTCATGACCTCAAGCTTGGAATGTTTGTGTGTTGCTACTGAGCTATCCCTTGGTCCTCATTCTGCTTTTCTTCTATACTATAAGCCTCCAGTGAACCATGCTCCCAGTTGTTATGTTTTGCAATGGATCAGGAGGTTGTGTCAGCCTTTTAAATTTTCTTATACAAATAGTAGTGAGTGGTGTATGTCCTACACTTGGACAAATAAATAATATTCCTGAAATACCATGAAACTTATCCATAACAAAAATGGGATCAAAATTTTAATTGTACGGTTTAATTATTTAAACTAGTAATAATAATAAAGTGGCTGGTGTATTCTCGCAGTGAACTTCACTCAGTGAACTTATTGAGGAGTTGAGGAGACAATCAGTTGCATTATATGAGCAAAAAAATATGAGCTTTGTTTTAAAATTAGAAACTCTCTAAATTTAATAGGATGTAGGTTTCTTGTTGTAAATAAGATTTCTGGGTTTGGTGGTGAGGAGGGGGGTGAAAGGAGGGTAGTGAAACTATATGTGACAATCACTGTATCACTGTCATCCTGTTGTTCATCAATTTATTCGAGTGGGCACCAGTAATATCTCCGTTCATCCCAGCCCTGGGATTTTTGCAGCCTCTCCTTACTCTTTTTTTCCCAATGCTGCCAATTGGAGCTCTTTCAGGGTCAGGGCAATGAGACCTGTAGTTGTTACTGTTTTTTTGCATATCGAATACGCCACAGGGAGCTTGCCAGGCTCTGAAGACATGTGACAATACTCAGGGGAACTATGTGGGATGCCAGGGATTGAACCCAGATCACCCCCATCCTACCCGTTGTACTATCTTTCTGTCTCCAACCAAGGACTTCTTAAACTTGATCCACTAGCCACCCCTTCTTGAATTGCATGATGCATCCTGGAAAGCACTATGAGTAACACCTCAGATGCATTAAGCATTGATTTTGAATTAGCTTTTTGGCCATAGTGTATTCAGAAACTTTTACTGTTGTTATATTTTTCACAACGACCTCACATAGGATTGAGACTATAGTGGGATTAGAGGAGGAATAAGAGTTCTAGAAAAAAAAATGCTGACCTGATATTGTGTAGCTTTGTTTAAAGTGGGGGAGGAGGTCAGATTCAGAAAGGAAAGAAATACTGAATGATAGGTTAAGGTCAGAGGTGGCAGGAAAGAAATGAAAAATCTGTTCAGCTTCTCTAGATTATAGCCTCTTTGAAGGAAGAAATAAAACTTTTTGCCTTGCTATCATTTTCTTTACAATAGGAAGTTCTTTCCAACGGGTACTTAATACACTGTGCTGACTACAAAGTTCTGTATCTTCTTAGCAAAATTTGCCCCTAATCACTAATACTGTTACTGAATAGGTTATTGATGATAATGCTTGACACTCACCACTCAAGTTTAGTTGTTGAAGATTATTTAAAGCTAGAAAAGCTGGTGGGAAATAACTTATTTGATTATTGCATGCATTTAAACTAACCAAACTTCTCAGTTCCTCTATAGTTTTTGGAATCTCTGTGATTGCATTATTTGAAATATCAAGTCTTTTAAGTTGAGTTATCTCAGGCAGTTCTTCTGGAAGTCTTGTTAGCTGAAATACACATTGAACAATTATAATTAATGTTTGATAATTAAAACTTAAAAATCAGATGGTTGGAGATTTCTTTTTATTAATTGCTTCTGCTTTGGAAAGGAGATGTTTTCATCAGTGTCAAAAATTCTTTCCCACTCACCTCAATATAATCCATAATATGGCATTGAAGTATCTATTTCATCTTATAAATTCAACTCTGTTGTTTGCTAATCCATTTTATACACTCTGCCAAATACCCAGTGGTCCTTCTGTCTCATCTCTTTCATCCTTTTCTAAGTCTGACCCTGCTTGGATTTATTTCCTTGAAGTTTTTCCCAACTGTTTGATCTTTTTTTTCCCTGCTCTTCTCACAGACATTGCTTTTTATTACTTTGTATTTTCCTTGATTTTTATATGACATTTTAAAATACATGGTTTATACTTACTGTTTACATGTTCTAATCAGGATGCACCTTATTGTGTTTTATTTTATGTTTTAATCTTGGGCTATACACAGTGGTGCTTAGGGACTACTCCTGGCTCTGTACTCAGGGACCATATGGGTTGCTATGGATTCAAAATGGATTCAATCTATGGATTGAATATGGATTGAATTACTTGCAAGGTAAGTGTCTTGCCCTTTATCACTCTAGCCCACAGGATGCATTTTAAATAAACACTAAATTAACCTCTTTGCAGTGGAATAACAGTTTGGTAATATATCTTCTAATTAGAATCCCTAGTATCAAAAGTATTGCAAAGTGAGAGAAATTAAAATAAATACTATAGTGAAGAAAAATATGTGTATTCAAAGAAAATAAGGCCATTATGTGTGAGATAATAAGTACTATGAATGAAGAAAAGAATTTTGAGTGTATTGTCCCTTTAGAAAGAATCAAACAACAAGGTAAATACTGAACATTGATCTTACAGATTTAAAAGAAGTTTAAGAGAAGACCCTATCTTCAAGGAGATAAAATATTAGTTCAGAATCAAAATACAAACAAATGGGGGACCAGGGGAGGGGGAAGATAACTCAAAGGGCTAAAGCGCATGCTTTGTTTGCAGGAATCTGTTTCCAAACCCAGCAGTCCACGGAATCCTACTGAGAATGGCTCAGTAGCAACACCCCAGAACCAGCCCCTCACACCCCTAGCACAGCTAGATGTGGCAAAACAAACAAAATGTTAATGAAACAATCAGGAAACAGCAATAAGCAGTAAGTAAACCAATGTCAAAACAGTACAGTCATTAAAAGAGATTAAATATAAGTTTAAGGAATGTTTACCAGTATAAACAAAAGACTAAAGAAGAGTTTATGTATTATGTGAGATATAAATGACCTCCTGGGCATGAATAGAATTGGGGTGCAGTATCTTAAATTGTCCAGGGAAAGCTAGAAGCTGTGAGCTTAATCCCTAGTAATGCTGCATGCATTTTGGCAAATCCAGTCTGGGATCTCTGGAGGTAAGGAGGCTGGGGTAAAGGATGCAAATGGTTATAAATTGCGGGATGTTTAAGGCAAGACAAATTTTACAAATAAAAAATGACCAGCCAGAAGCTAAACAGTAGAGATAGAAGCAGAAGGAATTACGGAGAAAGAACATGTAATCTAGCTATGGCAAGATGCTAGAGCCAGACTCTTAAGAAAATAGTCAAATCAGTTTAGGAGAGCTGGTCCGTAATTTGCCATTCTCTCAAGCAAGTAATGTTTAACTACTTTCAAAGAACAACCTGGGAATTCTGAATGATGGAACTTTGTAGAAGAAAAAGGAAAAGGGTCATTTAAGGACCATTCCCTAAATAATTTTTTTTTAAAAAAAAGGTCCTGTAACAATTGGCTCACACTCTATAGGTGACTATTCAGTGATCACTGCTATTATATAATCACTTGAGCATCTCATGGCAACCTTAAGATGGCCATCAAAATGGAAAATGTGTCCTTTTAAGCTCCTTATCCTCTTTCCCCCATGTTTTTTTTTTAAACCATTGGAGACCTTTGATTGCAGTGATATGAACTGGTGCTTTTAGCTACCAATCATCATAAGCAGGCAATAGTTATACAAGTCTGAATTTCTGTTTGCATGTGTGCAACACTGAGACTGTTCTCTGGAATGAGTTTTGATACTGTTGACAAGTTCTGATTAAAGGGAGGAAACTGAGTATAAAAATATAAAGAGGTTCTGGACATGAGGTGAATTGATCATGTACTAGAATAGAGATAGTGTTATTAAAAATGAGAATGATAATCAGAATTTTATGAGAAAAAATAAGATCATTTTGTTGTAAGAGTTGGCATAACTGATGAAAGAAAAGGAACAAATATCATTCTATAATTTCTACATTGGAAGATTTGAATAAAATAGCATAACAAACATGTTTGAATGGAATTCATTCAAAAGAAAGATTAACTTGATCTTGACATCTTGAGTTTGAGACAGTGGAAGAGAACAATAGGAAATATTCAGTAATTGGGAACTCTTCAACATGTGTTCCAGCCCTTTGACTTCTTTCTTTATATAGGCAATCCATTATAATTTCTGGTCACATGTTGAAACAACTTTTTCAGTCTTTTGGACATAGTTTTATAATTAATTGTAAAATGACAGTGCATTCAACTTAATGTTCTATTTCATTTAATTCTAGAGGGAATGCAGATGTTTCCATTAGGAGAGAGCCAAAAGTACCCCATAAAGTAAAACAAAAGAATTCCAGGGGAATTCCTTTTTTTATTTTTTATTTTTTTAATTTTTTTTAAGTACTGCCATGGACTCGGAATATAATTTAACAATAGAACTCATGCCTTACATGTATGGATCCTGGGTTTAACTTATGACACCCCTCCAAACATTTCCATAATATTCATACATAGACTTTAATAAAAAATGAAATACTAAATAAACTATAAATTTTTTTTTTCTGGCTTAGAGTCTCCAGCCTCTTCTGTTGAAGTTTGTAATGCACTCTTTTTACACTCATTTACTATGGCATAACAACATTGGTTTTAGAGATGACTTTTAAAAGAATATTCATTCTCATTAATACAGCAAAAATAGGGAAAAATCCCTGAGTAAATAGAAATATATGACAAAGGTTATTTTTATGATAATAAAAATTACATTATTGGTATTCTCCATTGTGAGAGTCACCTGCATCTCAAACTGATTTTTTTTTCTTTTTTGTGGGAGGAGGGATTGGGCCATACCCACTGTTTCCCAGTGTTTATGCTCTGTGCTCAGGATCACTCTTGGCAGTGCTGGGGTGGGAGGCCCATATGGAGTAATCAAATCTTGGTTGACCATGTGCAAGGCAAGCACCTCATAATTCATCTCTCCTGTAATGCTTTGTCTCCCCCGGAATTCTTTTGTTTTACTTTATGGGGTACCTTTGGGCTCTTTCCTGCTCTCTCCTAATGGAAACACCTGCATTCCCTCTAGAATTAAAAGAAATAGAACTTTAGGTTGAATGCACTGTCTTTTTACAATTAATTATAATACTATGTCCAAAAGACTGAAAAAGTTTTTTCAACATGTGACCAGAAATTTTAATGGATTGCCCGTATAATTTTCAATACTTTTCTCAATTTTCCAATTTTCAATATTGGACTTATAATCTATAGTTTAAAATTCTTTTGGAGGACCAGTGAGATGACTCAAAAGGTCTGGAGTGTGTGATTTGAATGTGGGAGCCCTAGGTTTGATCCCTGCCACTCCACTCTAACCACTATGCTAGGAGTAGTCATAACCTCCAAGCACTTTCTTGGCCGTTACCCCAAAGATAAAGGGAAAGAAATGTTTACCCTTTAAGAATAAAAATATTCCATGAGCCGGAGCAATAGTACAGTGGATAGGACATCTGCCTTGCAAGCAGCTGACCCAGGTTTGATCCCAGGCACCCAATATGGTCCCCTGAGCATCACCAGGAGTAATTTCTGAATGCAAAGCCAGGAGTAACCCCTGAGTATTGCCAAGTGCAGCCCAAAAACAAAGAACAAAAACAAAACAAAACAAAAAACCCCAAAATATTCTAGCTAAACTTAAAAGATACCCCCACAAATATATCACTTAGATTCTTCCGCTCTACAGTCCCACCTTCCCTCCAAAGACTAAATTTTAGATACCTTACCTTTCGTCCATTTAACTGACTTATATTCAGTTCTTCCAAAGATTGAAGTTGGCATAGTTCAGTTGGAAAGTATAAAAAATGGTTGCTTGCTAAGTTTAGTTTTTTAATTTCTTTTAAGTTGCAGATCTCTGAAGGGATTTTTGGTATTTGATTTTCTGAAAGGTCAAGTGCTTGCAATTTTCTTAAAGTACACACTTCTATAGGAAAAGCTTTAAATTTATTATTGCATAAGATAAGAACATGGAGTGATGCCATGTTGTGGATAGATTGTGGGATTGTCCTTATTTGGTTTTTACCAAGATCCAGATATTTAAGATTAATAAGAAAACATAAGTGCTCAGAGAATATGTAGAGTTTATTTTCATTCAGCTCTAAATGAAGCAGTTGTGTACTGAATGATATCTCAATTGGTAGTTCTGTAATATAATTTCTGTTAAAACTCAAATAATAGAGAGTATCCAAAGCACACAAACCTACTGGAAAATATATAATTTTATTATTATTCAATTCAACTTTAGTTATTTTTGTACAGTTTTTTATTTCAATGGGAATATCTGTGATTAAATTATCTGAAATTTCTAGACTGAATATATTGTTAAGATGGGAGATATTTTCAGTTATTTTCTTTATGTAATTCCTATTTACATGTAGTTTTCTTAAATTCTTAAGCTTATGGATGTTCTTAGGAAGTTCTCTTAAGTTATTATCACTGAGGATAAGACATTCCAACATCATGCAATGGGAAAGTTTCTCTGGTATTTCTTTCAGTAGATTTTTATCAAGCATGAGAATTCTTAGTTCCCCAAAATTCTCAATTTTGTGTGAAATAACTTCCAACTTATTGTTAGTCAGTTGGAGTTCCTTTATTTTGAGCAATTGGAAAATTTGCACAGCCAGAAAAGTAAGTTTATTGTGAGCCAATAAAAGTTTTTCTAATTTTTTAAGCTCCTTAATTTCTTTTGGTAAACTACTTATCATGTTACCAGTAAGGTTTAGTGAAATTAAATTTGGGAGGAAGCACAGAGATGTATGAAATATTGTTAGCTGATTATATTCCAAATTGAGAACACTCAACTTTTTTAATTTAGATAGGCTCTCTGGTATATGTTCTAACTTATTTTTAGCCAAACTTAAAATTTCCAAGTTTTCAAGACTTTCAAAACCAGAAGGAAAATTAGCAATGTCATTGTTATTTAAATAGAGTTGTGTTATATTTCTAAGCTGTGATATCTCTGTAGGTATATGTGATATTTGATTGTGACTGACATTTAATATCTTTAAATTATGAAGTAAATGAATTTCAGGTGGAAGTAATGATAGCTCATTTCTTTGCAGAGATAGAACTTCAAGTCCTAGCAGGTCACTGAAGTCTGTTCCTTTTAAATTTTTAATTTGGTTCTCATCTAAATAGAGACATTTTATATGTTTGACTTTTAAAGTGTCAGTAGGAAAATCATGCAAACCCTTGGCTTTGAGGTTAACTGTGAATTTTCCTGTCTGTGGGTAAAATTCTTTCTGATTTTCTTCCAAAATTTGTGGACGATATTTTCCTGATGTTTCATCAGATAGAGTGTCAGCAAAAGACTGAGATTCTGCAGCCATATCAGTTTTTAATAATGATGATAAGTTGCCATTTTTGTTTGCTTCAAAAGACTGAAGTGTTTCCATTTGTTCTTCATTGCTCCAAAATACATATGAAGGTAAGTATTCTAACTTTGTATCCTGTCTAGGATATGTTTCAGAATTCTGCTTAGAAGGCTTCTCATGAGACTGTTCATTAAATTGTCTTGAGATATCTGTTAGCTCTTCTGAAGTATCCTCCTTTTCAGACATTTCATTAGCTGATATGTTCACACAAATAGAGTTTATAACTTGATTTTACAATGTTCATGTTTAGTTTTTCCTTTTGGACCTATAAAAATAAATGTTATTATTAAAAGAGTAAACTTAACAAAATTGTAAAAATCATTAATTTTATTATATTTTATTCTATAATAAGTAATATATATAAAACCCTTACATTTTTAACTATGGGTTCCTGGTTAAGGATAATATATTGATTGTATGCATTTACCACATGATACTCTTGAAATCACACTAAAATTATAAACAGGAATAAGAAGTATAAAACACAGGGGTGCTGTGCTGCTAACAGGTTATCCTGTACCTGTGGGGTGAGTGTATCAGCAGCCTGATGGTGACTTCAAGCTTTCTAATACCCCAAAATGCTGCTGTGCTTCTAGCCAGACCCCAACTCAGGACCAAGTTTCCTGAGAAATTAAATGGCCAAAAGTTAGGTATGGGGGAACATGCCCACAAACACCTCTGGTGCAGCTCTACAAGCTCATTTATTGATTTTGCTTCAGAAACCCATAAATAAATCTCTAAAGAGATTTTTAAAAAACATAGTTAATCTTGGCACAAGACACATTAAATCTTGGCACTTGGCACATTAAACAGTGGAGGGTAAATCAGAGGAGAGCAGGTCAGCCTGATGCCCATCCCAACAGAGCTCCTGACAGCCACTTGCTTCTACAATCTATAATTACCACCATGCCCCTGTCTGGACTCCACGATCTCAGGGTAGACCTCATCGAGATATTCACCTGTTGAAAATTCGAATTTGAAAATTTGAATTTTGAGTTTTGTGACTGAATCTTCAGGCTTTCTCGGAATTGGGATGGACTACCTCCCCCCAATTCCCTAAACTCCTGAAAGCACCAGCAGTCACCCCCACGAATCATCTCCAACATTACCATGAAAGTTATTCTACTGGCCTTGCTTCAGAGACCCATAAACAAATCTCAAAAGAGATTAAAAAAAAAAACCACAGTTAATCTTGTACCTGCACAAGACTGTACAGACTAGGGTAAATCAGAGTGGGGGCAGATCAGCGTGGTGCCCACTCAAGCAGATCCTCTGACAGTCACTTGCTCCCACAATCCAAAATCACCACTATGCCCCTGGCCAGACTTCACCATCTCAGGAAAGACCACACCGAGGTCTAATATGCTGAAAGTTTGGGTATGTGGGATTTGTGACTGAAATTACCAGGCTTTCTCAGGGTTAGGGTGGGCTACTTCCCCCCAACCTCCATGTACTTCTGGAAGCCTCAGTAATCACTTCCATACCCCCAAACTGTCACCTGATTAAAAAAACTAGTCCCGCCTTACCGTCCTGATAAAAATACTGAATGCCCTGAAAAGACATGACCTCCTGGTACCTGTACTGCAAACCATAACGCACAAATGGGTGGGGGGAGGGGAGACAAAAGAGAAGTGCGTGGCTCAGATCAGGATGCAATGGGAGGAGGGGTGTTGGGGCATGGTGGGAGGGAAACAGGGGACATTGATGGTGGGAAATGTATACTGATGGAGGGATGGGTGTTGGATCATTGTATAACTGAAACCCAATCATGAACAGCTTTGTAATGGTCTATCTCATGGAAAACTCAATAAAAAAATTTTTTAAAAGAGTAATTTGGAGTTCATGCCCTCTTCAGTCAGTTTAATCAGTGGCTGAATAATAGCACTACTCATATATTTTTTTAAAGTACAAATGTATTTGAGAAAGGATCCTGGATGATGGTCTTGATGTCAGAGTTCATCATTAAAGATTTATGAGGCTCTGGGCTGAATTCCTGTCCTTGAAACAAGGAAAAAAAGAAGAGGAAAGAAGGTGATAAAGGAGACATGAAGGAATTAGAGAATTCAGCAAATTTGGGGCAGACAAAAAGGAGATACCCCGTGATCTTGTTTATCCCCTATGGAAAAAGAAATGAAAGATACATCAAAAAAGAATAGAGCTCCCACATAACCCAGTGATTTCACTCATCAGTATCTATTCCCAAACAAGAAAATATTCATTCAAAAAGATAATTATACATCCATACTCATTGCATCATTTAGTACAATAGCCAGTATTTGTAAGCAATCCAGATATCCAACAGCAGATGAGTGGATAAAGAAATTGTGGATGGGGGCCAGAGTGACAGCGGGTAGTGCATTTGCCTTACATGCAACTGACCTGGGTTCAATTCTGGCCTCACTATTGTTTCCTGAGCACCACCAGGAGTAATCCTGAGTACAGAGCCAGGAGTAACCCCTGAGCATTGCAGGGTGTGGCCCAAAACAGCAGCAACAACAAAAGAAGTGGTAAGGCCAGACAATAGTGCAGCATGCAATGTGCTTGCATTGCATGCTGTTGACCCAAGTCTGATCCCTGGCACTCCATCCCCTTGAGCCCCATCAGGAATTATCTCCTAGTATAGAGCCAGTAGTAAGTCCTGGATATGGCAGGGTGTAACCAAAATTGGAAAAAAGCTTTGTGGTATATATACACACAGTGGAATACAATGCAGCCACAAGGAATGACAACATCATGTAATTTACTAGTACTTGGATGGAACTGAAGGATATCATGTTAAGTGAAATAAGTCAGATGGAGAAAGACAAATAGCAGATGTTTAATCTTTAGTAAATGACAGGACAAGGGAATGGAAAATTCAAAAGTGGGTAAATACTTGGCCCTAGGTTTACAGAAATTAAAATGCCACGGGAGGAGTGAAGTCGAGGGGGTTAAGAAGAAGAGATAAAAATCATCTTGAAAAACTATCAGAAACAACTATTCTGAATATCCAAATAAACACATGATGTTCTTAAACACTAAAAAAAAAAGAAGAGATAATCTGGAGGTAATAGAGATCAGGGACTTCGACATGTTAATGATGAAGAGGCAAGGTATCTATACTAAACCACTAAAATTAACACTGCTGTAAACATGAGGACCAAAGTACAATAATTAAATCTAAAAATATATTTATTAAGGAAATGAACTTGAGGTGGCATGGAACCTAGGGACACTGGTGGAAGTATTTTTATACTTGAAAATCAAACAGCTTTGTAAATTATAGTGTGTAAATAAAATATTAATTTTTTGGTTTAGGGCACACAGCTAACAGTGCTCAGGGCTTCTCATCTCAGGTGTGTGCAAAACTTCCCTACCTGTTATATTCTCTCTCCAGTTCCTAATTTTGTCTTAAAGAAGCTAACAGAGGTGGGGGTGGGGGGCCAGACTGATAGTACAGCAAGGAGGGCATTTGCCTTGCATGTGGCTGACCCAGGTTTAATCCCTGGCATCCCATATGGCCCCCCAAGAACTGCCAGGAGTAGACCAGTTCTCTAGTTCTGTTGCATCTGACCTTTTGTTGCTCCTTCAATGTTTATGTCCATGTCCCAGGTTTTCCTGATGTATAATAGGTAACAGAAATGGAAAAGAATATGGTTTTGTTCTAAAGGAATATTTTTTTCATTTTTCTCTTTCATACATAAATTATGTTTGGTAAGATGTTCTCACACAGTGAAATCAGACTTCTCTCCTTTTATTAAAATTGGCTAAACATTGTATCAAGGCATTTATATAATAATTCCTTTTAATTTAATGAACAGATTGAGATTTCCTTTAATGTTCTAGCTTCATAGTGGCTAACATTAATAATATAATTAATTTTTTAAAGGATCTAGTCAGCTGTCACTTGCACCACATGCAAATAATGCCACTTACATTACAGACAGTGTAGGTTTAATAAGACATTGAAATGTCTTTTCCCAAAATGAAATTCAATACATTTTGGGTTTTCTGGTAGATATGAGTAAAATAAGACAGCTGCTTTCTGTAAGAATGAACTCAAAATGAAACAGTCCTTCAAGACTAAATTCTGATTTTGAGTTCTTTATGTGATTCCTGAACTTTTGGACTGACTAGTCTGAGAGTTTGCCTTTATTCCAGAATCGGAGTTTTAATTACTATACATTTGCAGTATAATTGGGCTGGAGTGATAGCACAGCGGGTAGGGCGTTTGCCTTGCATGCAGCCGACCCGGGTTGGATTCCTCCATTCCTCTTGGAGAGCCCGGCAAGCTACCGAGAGTATCCCACCCGCACAGCAGAGCCTGGTAAGCTCCCCGTGGCATATTCAATATGCCCAAAACAGTAACAACAAGTCTCACAATGGAAACGTTACTCGAGCAAATCTATGAACAACAGGAGGACAGTGCTACAAGGCTTGTAGTATAATTCAGCCGGGAAATGCAAAATCTCTCATTTTCGTTTTTGTCACAATTGCTTTGGCCAATCAGGAGAGATTTATTATTCCATTCAAATGTTAATAACATTTATTTCAAGATCTTGAATATTGTTATTGGGACTTGCACTGAATCTATAGAATACTTTGGTTAGTATAGCCATTTTGATGATAATTTTTCTAATACATGGACATGTATTTTTTTTGGTATTTTTTAAAATTTCCTGATGTTCTCTTCTATTCCACTCAGTAGTGAAAGTTTTTGAAGTATAAGCTTTTCATATCTTTTTTAAGTTGATGCCCCATTACTTTATGTTTCATAGTTTGTGCATAGAAATGCAACTGATATTTTTGTGTGCTGATATTGTAGCCTGCTACTTTGCAGAATTGGTTTATTGTTTCTTTTTTTTTTTAATTAGTGAAGCACCGTGAGGTACAGTTGTAGATTTACAAATCCTTGTGCCTGAGTTTCGGTCATACAATGATCAAATACCCATCCCTCCACCAGTGCCCATTTCCCCCCACCCCCCCCCTCCCACCCTGCCTCTGTGGCAGGGCATTTCCCTTTGTTCTCTCTCTCCTTTTGGGTGTTGTGGTCTGCAAAAGAGGCATTGAGTGGCAATCATGTTCAGTCCATAGTCTACTTTCAACATGCATTTCCCCTCCTGGGAGGATCCTCCAAACACCTTTCATTTGGTGTTCCCTTCTCTATCTGAACTGCCCTTTCCCCTAGAATATCCGGCTGGCCTCTA